GTGAGAGTAAATTATATGAACTGAGAGATGGATTAGTTTATAGGAAAGTTAAAAATAATCTATTATTTTATGTACCAAAAAGCATGGAACAACAAGTTATCCATACTTATCATGATAAAATTGGTCATGTAGGTGTAGCTAAAACTATGGAGCTTATTAATAGGTCTTATTGGTTCCCCGAATTAAAGCAAAAAGTAAAAAATTATGTAACTAACTGTTTAAAGTGTATTGTGTTCTCATCTAGTGTCAATAATAAAGAGGGTTTTTTACACAATATACCAAAGGGCGATTTACCCTTTAATACAGTTCACATAGACCATTATGGACCATTAGAAAAAACCCAAAATAAACATAAACATGTTCTTGTTACAATAGACGCTTTTACAAAGTTTGTTAAGTTGTACCCCTGTACAAAAACTGAAACTAGTCAGGTCATTAAACATTTAAAAACTTATTTTGATCAATATAGTAAACCCTTAAGAATAATTTCTGATAGAGGTAGTTGTTTTACCTCTGATGAGTTTAAATCTTTTTTACAAGAGTATGATATTCAACATATTTTGATAGCCACTGGTATGCCTCAAGCTAATGGGCAAGTTGAAGTCATTAATAAAAGTATTAGGTCAATGTGTGCTAAATTAACAGATGATACTAGTAAATGGGATAAAGTTTTAAAAGATGTTGAGTTTGCAATAAATAATTCTATGAATGCATCTACTGGTCAGACACCAAGCATGCTCTTATTTGGTGTTAATCAAAGAGGAAAAATTAATGATAATTTACGGGAATATTTAATCAGTACTTTAGGGACATCAGAAAGGGATTTATCTCTAATTAGAAAAAAAGCAGCAGAAAAAATAGAGTTATCTCAAAAATATAATAAAACTTATTTTGACAAAAAGAGAAAAGAGCCTTATTCATATAAAATAGGAGATTTAGTAATGGTTGTTAATAATGATACAACTGCAGGAGTAAATAAAAAATTACTTCCAAAGTTTCGAGGACCTTATGTAATAAAGGAAATTTTAAGTAATGACAGATATGTTATAACTGATGTTGATGGATTTCAAGTTACACAATTACCTTATGAAGGGATTGTTGCACCCTCGAGAATGAGGCCTTGGCAACACGAAAATGATGAGACTTTATGATTCTTATGTTTGGAAATTATGTTTACAATAATCTTATGACACTTATGTATGTTATTTATGTTATGATACGTATGAATACTCTTTTATGACACTTATGCCATTTATGTTATGATACTTATGTATACTATTTTATGATACTTATGTGTGCCATTTATGTTATGATACTTATGTATACTATTTTATGATTCTATGTATGCCATTGTCATAATTATGAATACTAATCCCAGATAGCACAGGACGTCCCATGGACGTCCTGATTTGGTCCCTTGTTGGTCCGGTTGGTCCCGGACCTAAATAGGACGTCCACTGGACTTCCTTAGAAGGACGTCCTCTGGACGTCCTATTTTGGTCCCGTTTCGACAAAGCGTTTAGTTTTCGGTCCGAGTCCGGGACGTTAATGGGACGTCTATGGGACTTTCTATGCACTAGCATCGTTGGTCTTTGAATCGATAACTTGAAATTCAACGTTTTGATTTTGCAAGAGTATGAGGACAGAAAACCTAACCTATCATTTATTTTCAAATGAACAACAATAGCTACAATTTTCGGCATTCAATAATTAACTTAAGTAAGTGAGTTAGATTAACGAAGAAAAAAGAAGGTTATATAGTGTTATTTGTTATTTTTTTGATGCTGGTGGTAAAGTGGTTATAAAGTGAAGTGAGTGTTTTGTGTTGATGTGAGAATTGAGAATAAGTGATGTGTATTGTCGGTAGCCGCTGGCGGAAAGAAAATACCTTAATGGCGGAAAGTTGGAACAAGGTCTCATCTTGCCAGCGCTGTGTGTTAAATTTAATTCATTCCTGTTTTTATTTTTGTAAACTGAAAACGTTTAACTCTAGCTAGGTTTTTTAGGATAAAAGTTGTTAAATAAAGCTCTTGTATTGTTAACATTTTTGTTATTATTACCCTTTATGGATTATGGTCAAATATCGTCCCTCGGACGTCTGATTTACGTCCCTAGGACGTCCCGCAAAGGTCCCTATGACGTCCTTTTGGGATGTCCCAGGGACGTCCCTAAGGGACGTCCCTAAGATGGACAGAAACGGGACATTAGGACGTCCATGGGACGTCCGATTGACGTCCCGGTACCAAAATAGGACGTCCCTCGGACGTCCTTTATGTCCCTAAAGGACGTCTTTCAGACGTCCATAAGACGTCCGTGTGCTATGTGGGATTATGATTTATATGTATTTCTGTTATGAAGCATTTATTAGGGACATTTTATGTTAAGTGAAAGTATTATTCTTATGAACCTTATGTAACTTACTATGACTATAATTACTATCCTGATGTTACATTGTTTTGCTTTGGTTTTAGTTATTTTGATTGAGGACAATCAAATATCAGGATGGACGAACTGTAGATGTCACTTTAATATTTAAATTTGCCGCCACATTTAAGTTGGCAACGTCCAGTCTGATCTTTGGTAATTTTCTATTTTTGACAGATAGACTTCACTTGTCAATTATCTTGAATATGGTCACTTTTGGGTTTTTATGTGCAAGAGTCAGGTGCATGGCGATTAAAAACCATTTTTAATTATTTTGAGTTTTATTATGGAAAATACGAACGTATCCTAAGAGAAGTAGTAACTACAAAATCTACCGTTTTTTGCTGAGATCTACCGATTTTTCTCGATAATTCTACCGATTTTCGGTTGATAGGGCCTGGCAACACTGCAGAGATTGTTCTCCTTTCCTCTACCCTCCATACCGAGAGGTTAGTTTTTGTTGGTTATTCGTTGATTTTTTATTTGTGTCTTGTGCCGTGGATTACTGTGAATTTATAAGCATAAAAGTTTACTGCATATACTGAAAAACCAAATAGAAGAACCCTTATTGGTGTTTTAAGTACGTCTAGGCGTCTAGAGCTGACATAGAAGCTTCATCGGATGTAAATATATCTGAATTAGAGTTGAAAGTACAGGAATATTGCCATTATTTGACCACCCTTAACCCACACTATATTTTACACAGCGCAGTTAAAATTATTGCTTAGAAGGGCATCCGACAGAAGATTAACCACTAATGGAGGAAAAATAAAAAAAAATAATTTGTAATATTACTTTTTTTAACGAAATGTTTCAGTGTTTTGTTAATAATAATGTTTATAGAAAATATGTGTTTTATTTTGTATAGAAGAAATTTACAGAAGCTTTTAAAACTAAATCAGAAAGTACGTCTTACCAATGTGTAACGGTTACTCTTCTAGTACCGTTATTTTTTAATATTTTAAAACTGTATTTTTAAAATGATTGTCCCATCTCTATTAGGACCGATAGTTTCATTCTTTCGCTACCAATATTTTATATAGTTATCTTTTGTTTTTTATAAGTTGTATGTTCGGATCGAAAGTGAATTTCGACAGGTATTACTTGAAAAAGCCTTTTACAATAATACCTCAGAACGAGGCAGTCGAGATTATTAAATCTGCTAATATTTAAGTAATCTTAAACAGTATGTGATATTTTTATTAGTGGTGAGAACCATCAGTATTTTATGGTGAGTACAAGATTAATATTTACAAGATTTCTGCAAAGATTAACGAAATGGATCGAGATTTATTTAGTTGTTAAAAATGTGAGGTTAGATGTTTTAGAACGTGTCATTAATTTCTGTAAAGATTATTTTTTATTCATTATGTGTTCAGAAACATCTTACCTCCTTGTTCCTTATTTTTCCTTATTACGTAACCTTCAAAAAGGTCTCAATCTTTTAGATAAGTCAACCTTTGGATGGTTTTTTTTATTACAACACCGCTGAGAACAGTTTAAAATATATTTTTTAAACAAATGGTTAGAATACAGTTGAAGTTATGGTCCCACATATGTTGAGTTATGATTAGAAGATAGTTGCAGTTATGATTACAAACATGTTAATTCATATATAGAAGAAGACGCATCGCTATAGGAGACCGTCCTTATTTGAAAAGATTGAAGACCTACACCAGTCCTACCTTGAGATAAGTTTCACTTTTATCTTTGAAACATTCAATAAAGAAGTAATTTAAACGAATCATGGCTTGTGTAGATTGTAATTGTTACTTGCCTGCATAAACATATACGTTCTGTTTAAACATCACTCATATTAATTATATTTGCCAAACTATTATAATTCACCTTAAATGATATGTTTATGTAAGTTTGGTGGCGCCCTCCATACCTTTCCTATAGTTAAGTTTTGTCAAGGTTATTAAGTGCTACTCACGGCCCTAATTAAATTGAGCTAAAACACGGTAAGTAAAACCAACATCACTTGTTACAAATGTCGAAAAACAGACATATTTAAGATGTCTTAAGAACGTTACCTTTTGTAACATCAGACGTCTTAAAGATGTCTTTAAGACATCTGGCCGGCGTCATAAGACGTCTTTTAGACGTCTGTCATGTCTCTGACAGACGTCATATGGACGTCTTAAAGATGTCTTTGTGCTGTCTGGGAGATACCTCTATAGATACCTTTACCTTTATAGATACCTTTATAGAAACAACAAAAACCATTTTTTCGAAAAAAATGACTGCCTCCTCTTTTATATCTAATATCGCTCTATTATCTTCAATTACAAGTCATGAAAAAAGTAAATAAATATCGAATATCTCGAATCTCATTTATAATCCATAATAGAGATAGACAATGTTATTATGCCATTAGCCAACGAAATTCCATAGCTTATGGAAGAATCCATCCAGTTTCGGCAATTTTCTGTTGAAATTTCTTAACAAAAATACAAAATACAAATAGGCTCAATGTTCAAAAGTTATCAACCATCCCCAATCACTCACCGTTGCGTTATCGTTGGTTTGCATTACGGCTGGTTACGGTTTTTTTTTTAAGTAAGAAATTTTACCTTTAAGTTTTCCTGATCTCACAAGACTCATTCTTTTGTAGAAAGCTTGATCCAGATCATCAATTGCCGGTTTTGCTTTCTCTTCCCTTTTCATGGCTGCATAATAAACAGTATTTCGCCTTCCTATCGGTGTATCTTTTTCCTGCGGTGCATCATTCTCATCTGCTTCGTGCTCTTCGACGTTTAGTCCTTGCAATCTGAAAAATATAAAATGATAGATACATTTTCTTGTTTTACAATACATAGTTTTTCAATATAAAGTATCGCAAACTGAATGATTTCTAAATCTTAACTAATTATTAAGAAAAGCTAAATATAAGTTTCCTGTAATTATTCTACATTTCATAAATAGGTAATTTTCTACAAATCTTCCTTTGGGGCAAAAATATTAACTTAAAAGTACGGTACGCGACAACTCGGCGATGCAAAGCCGGCGACGGTCAACTCGGCGATGCCAAGTCGGCGATGGCCAACTAGACGATGGTAAACTCGGCGACGATCGACTCGGCGAAAAGGAATACAATAATATAATATGCAATTATTTATTATAATACAATTATTTATTATAATACAATATACAATCTATAAAAAAAATTGATTAGAAAACTTGATTAATAAAATAAAAATATATAAGAGATTTTAAAAGTGGCAATAAAATCAATTAAGGGTTTTAACTACAATTAGGGTTTCTAATACATATTATCAGAAAGCAAATTAAAATATTAAGGGAAAATTTAGAGCTTAAGATTTTTCAATGCAAAATAAAAATAAGATATAATATATTAAAATATTAGATTATGAAATAAAAAAATTTAAGTAACATTATATGCTGAAACGGAATTATAAAATAAAAACTGAAATAAAAAAAGGTTGATTATAGAATATTGTTATTTATTATAATACACATTACAATTATTTATAATACATATATTTATTATAATACAATATAATATAAAAAAACTAATTCATGTTGTAATTATGTGATATCCCTCTGAGATAATCGATCAAATTTTGCCTGTTATAATTGGCCACTTTATTTAAAATCCTCTCGTCGGCTTCCTCATAACGTTTCCTTTTTGATGCGCCATTGCGCCCGGCAATTGCTCGTTCATAGTCTGCATCGTACGAAGACTGTACCTTTTTTAAATTATCTATGAATGTCCATAACGAAGGATGAGCAATGCCAGAACCAAAATCCAGTTGCAACTTGCGATGACATGCTTCTGCAAAATTATTTGTCCTATCTCGTCCATTCAATGTTCGAAAATAAACGGACCAAACTACTGATGGAAAAGTTGCTGGCACTCTGGTTCCATTATTCCTAAGTCGACCGATATAATTGCTGGTAAACCATTCTAAAATTGGTTCTAATATTTCTGGCAACTCATTTTCCAATTCGGCAATGGCCTCAATCACATCCTCTTCTGGGACAAATGCCAATGATGTTACCATTTTTGCTTGTAGTGCAAATTCGGGATCAGTATTGTACATTCCTAGGAGATTGCAAGAAGATAAATGCTTTCGAAGATTTTTGACCAAGTGGAATAAGCATCCTCTAATTTCGGCTTCTGGGAAAACTTGTCTTACGGCCTGGTGAATTGCCAACTCAAAGTCGACACTGATGCTTTCCGGATTTAATTGCGGCCAAAGAACTTTTATCATGTTAAACACATTGAGATATGTTTCTGCACTTTTATTGGGCAGCAAGCAATATAGTACAGGAAAAACTGGACCCTTCTCTTCATGCGTATCTTTTCTTGCCAGAACAACAAATATTTGAGCAAAAAGTGGAGGACACAATAAGAATGTGCCGTCAACAAATAATTCTTTCATGCTTGCACTCCATGTTGCATGGTATTCTCTACCAAATGTTATAATTCGATGTGGATCCACTTATCTCTTCCGGAATCTGCCAGCAAAAAATTCTCAAATTGAGTAGGGCTGTAATAATATTGCAAGTACACTTCTGGGATGATAATTTCACTAAGAGTTTCTGGATTGGCGGGTGCTTTGCACATGGTTACTCTTACTCTTTGAATGTTTCTCCGCATAACACTGGAACTTGGAAGCATTCCTTTAACCGCAGCTGGTACATTCTCCAAAACTCGTCCTCTGATTTGGGCAGGATTCTCCATCGTTGTTGCGGCCAGGTGCTTCACAGTGGTATTCATTTTTTGCAGAACATTTGCTGCATTTCCTACCGTACTACATGTGTGTTCATTTCGTATACATTTGAAAGAACCATCCATAATATTGGTCCATATTCTTCCTTTGCATCTTTCATGCTTGTTTTCGCAGCGCCAGAATTGAATGGTGTTGTCCTTGTTCGTTTTATCCTTCGTGTATAGGTAGCCATCCCAGTAGTACTTTTCGTGACCCCTTTGGCTAAGAACTTTATTTTCCATCTTGAGTCTCGGTAAATAAAAAACTCACACAGACAAACAACATTACACACAATGTCTTTACTTCTGAGATGAATTCGGAATATTAAGGAAAGTGAATATCACCAGTCTTTTATTTTGTTTTGAAAAATCTTAAGCCCTTAAGCAGGCAATTATAAGGTAATCTTATTTTTATTTTGCTTTGAAAAATCTTAAGCCCTTAATATTTATTTGCTTTCTAATACTAGGTATTAAAAACCCTAATTGTAGTTAAGACCCTTAATTGATTTTATTGCCACCTTAATTTTGTAATTCCAAACAACTCTGGCCATTAAATTTTAATTTCTTAATCAAGAAGGTTCTTTTTCAGATCCTTAGTTTTAATATTTAATATATTTTTTCCTGTATATGTTGATTTACTTTAGTAATAATAACTTTTTTCCAGTTTCTTATTTAAAATCTCTTATATATTTTTATTTTATTAATCAAATTCTCCAATCAAATTTTTTTTATAGGTTGTATCTTATTTTGTATTATAATAAATAATTGAATAATATATTATTGTATTCTTTTTCGCCGAGTTGATCGTCGCCGAGTTTACCATCGCCGAGATGACCATCGCCGAGATGACCATCGACGACTCGGCATCGCCGAGTTGACCGTCGCCGACTTTACATCGCCGAGTTGACCTGCTCCGTTAAAAGTATTAGTTCATATAATTTATTTCGATAAATTACGATAATCCATTAGCGTAGACTTAAGGGATAAGAAAACAATTCATTCGAAACTTTTTTCACATCCTATATTTCATAAAAGTTATTCTTTACGAAATATATTGCAAAAAATCTGATGTGTTTAACACATGACTTTCTTGTCTAGTTATTACAGGCCGGTTATTTTGTACAACCTATTATATTACCCCTGTAAATGTTTAGAGGATGAACTAAATACATACATTTTAGAAGCATATATGTATTAATTGCCAACGAAAACACTGAAAAATTAAAAGAAGGCTATGCTTTTCTCGGTCCCATGCTCCCGGTTATAAGATTTTACACACTTATAGATATACAGGGTGAGTCATGAGGAACCTTACAGACTTCTACCATATGTAGAGTCCCTTAAGGGGTATATCATATGAGCATTAAAAAGTGGCAAGTCCCCTTCGTTATTAATAGTTTTGTGAATTTTGACAAAACTTTATATGGCCGTAAAATCTACAAGGATTACTAGATTTCTTTAATTTTTTGGTGGAGCATTACACTGGTGTCTAGCATTTAATTCATATCATCAAAAGTTAAAAGTTCCAGGATTGGCTTAGGAAAAATTAATCTCGACGATTCATATCAAAAAGTTCGCCCTGTATAAGATTTTTTTAAATTATAATAAGATATTTTTAAAGTACATAGATAGACAATCAAAACTTTGTATGTGACATTATTGTCACCTTTTTTTTATTAAGGTTCGATTTTGGGTAAAACTGAAAAATCACCTTAAGGGGTCACATAAATTATGTTATAACATAAAGAAAACATTGTTAATTGTATGCATTTGAACTAAACGAGCCAAACATAAGCCTTTAGTGAGCTTACTAGATCGTTAAATTCATTTTCGACAATTTCCAGATCCGGATTAGTTCATTTTTAAATTTTAAATAGAAATCGGCCTATTTTTGTAGACTATAGAAACTATGCAACTAAATTAAACATGTCAATAATCATTAAATAAATTGTAGCGAATAACAATAACGAACAATAAATTCACACTCATTAATTAATAATTATAAATGCTATTTATTAACCTCTAATAAAAACTGCACATTTTATTCTTGCAACTAAGATATTATGTGGTTTTATTTTTATTATAAATACATAGTAGGTACCTATGTATCAAGGTAGGTTGTGATAGTTTGACGTTTGTTTGTTCTTATTTATTTGTCATTTGCCACCATTATTTATACGTGTAAAATAATATTTCGCTTTGTTTTATCTATTTTACAATAGTGTTAGAATTTTTGTTGTTGGTGTTGTTATTCAAAATGCCCTATAAGTTTTCAAATGCAGAATATGCAGATATCATTTTTATGTACGGATTCTGTAATAGGAATGGTAGAGCTGCAGCAAGAGAATATCATAGAAGATTTCCTGGTCGTCGAGTTCCCTGTCATTCAACATTTGCATCAGTTTTTAATTATTTGCGAGAACATGGCACATTCCCTAAAGCAAATACAGAACGAAATGTAGATCATGAGCAGGAAGATAATATTCTTGATGCTGTTATTGCGAACCCCACAATAAGCACTAGGAAAGTAAGTCGACAACTTTATGTTACCCAATCAAAAGTGACTAGAGTCTTACGAAAAAATAATTGGATTGGTGTGATAAATAACCAATTTATAGGACCTCACTTTTTTGATGGTCCTTTAAGAGGACAAGTTTACTTAGACTTTTTGCAAAATACTTTGCCTAATTTACTTGCCAACGTAGGTATCCAACATGATGGAGCATCGCCTCATTTTTTAGTTGCGGTAAGAAACCATCTAAATAATGTTTTTGGCAACAGATGGATAGGACGTGCAGGTCCTATTTCATGGCCTCCAAGATCCCCAGATTTTAACCCCGTAGATTACTATATTTGGGGACGATTGAAAGAATTAGTTTATTCACAAAATATTAATGACCGACAACAATTAATTGATAGAATTATCCTTTGCTCTAATGTTATTAGAAACGATCCCTTGACTATCCGTAAATCAATAAGGCACTTAACGATTCGGCAACAAAAATGCGTAGAAGCTGGAGGGTTTCATTTCGAACAACTACTGTAATTGTTAATTTATTACCATGATTTTATTTTCTAGTATACATGTTATCATTATTCTACAGTATGTCGCTAATGTATGGAATAAATTCATTATTTCTAAAATAATCGACTTTTGAAAAAAATCCAAAAACAGGTAAATTTTAATTTTTGAATCGTCATAACATGATGTAGATGTAACGAACATTACGTCACCAATATTACCGTGGTGACTTAATCGGCAATTTTTTTAAATGCAACCATGTGTCTCAAAACACGTTTTGGTTGACCCTGTAGAAATAAATATTCAAATAATTACATCGTTGTAAAGACGATTAGAAGACCTTTCCAATGAGGTGTTTTGAGACACATGATTGCATTTAAAAAAATTGCCGATTACGTCACCACGGTAATACTGGTGACGTAATGTTCGTTACATCTATATCATGTGATGACGATTCAAAAATTAAAATTGACCTGTTTTTGGATTTTTTTCAAAAGTCGATTATTTTAGAAATAATGAATTTATTCCATACATTAGCGACATACTGTATGTATGTAGTATTAGTTTTTTTATTAAATTTCTTAGTTGTTCGTTATTCTAATTAGTTAAAATTTATTTATTGTTTGTTGATGAAATTTAAACGAAATAAAATATTTTTAATAAATACATATGAACTTATGTTTAATTTATTTGAGTCTCCAAAAATGTACAAGGGTGGTTTTTATTTAAAAATTAATTAAAAATTTATAACTAGGCCTGGAAATTGAATAAAATGATATTAACGGTGTAGGCACTAAAGGCTTATGTTAGACTCGTTTTAGTTCAAATATATACCATTAACAATTTTTTCTTTAAGTTATAACATTATAATGTGACCCCTTAAGTTGATTTTTCAGTTTTGCTCAAAATCAAAACTTAATAAAAAAATTAAAGAAAATGTGACAAAAATGTCACATACACAGTTTTGATTGCCTATCTATGTACTTTAAAAATATCTTATTATAATTTAAAAAAAATCTTATACATGGCGAACTTTTTGATATGAATCGTCGAGATTAATTTTTCCTAAGCCAATCCTGGAATTTTTAACCTTTGAGGATATGAATTAAATGATAGACACCAGTGTAAAGCTCCACCAAAAAATTAAAGAAATCTAGTAATCCTTGTAGATTTTACGGCCATATAAAGTTTGGTCAAAATTCACAAAACACCCCGTATATTAATAATGAAGGGGAGTTGCCACTTTTTAATTCTCATATGATATACCCCTTAAGGGACTCTACATATGGTAGAAGTCTGTAAGGTTCCTCATGACTCACCCTGTATAAAAAGAGACATTTTTCGAAAATTTTAACATTTAAACCATTCCGGAACCTCTTCAAAAAAGCTCTTTTATGGCGAAGTTTTTGAAGACAAAATAATGATAAAATAAACATTTTGGCAACAGAGCTTATGTGCGGTAATGCAAGTACTATGACGTAAGAGGAAAAGCCCACTCATGCGACACGTCGCGCGCGACTGATCGCGAGGCATCGTGCGCGGCAATACTTTAGATGTTTTTAAATGACCCAAAGCCCATTAACGCGGTTCTGTCGCGTGGTCGCACGCGGATAAAAATTAGAAATGACAAGCCCGCGATTTTCCTGCCGCACGCGGCCAGCTTTATCATGGGTTCATATGGAGCATCACTCATACAAACGTCAAGTCGCGTGCGAAACGCCAGTTGAGAGTTGGAATTTCCTATTAACTTTTCGGCAGTTCCAGTGAAATAATGTGCGACAGTTGTATTGAAATAGATGAATTTATATCCGATATTCAAGACCGACCTGAAATATCGAACAGTTAATTGAAATAAAATAGCAAAAAAAATATTTGTTCGGGAATCTGCGCTAGCAGTTCGTCAAAAGACACTACTCCCATTCTGAAATATTTGAAGAACTTATATTCGTGTTGACGTAAATCCTTATGTAATAAATTAAATGAGCCTTTTACATAAGGGTCTATAAATAATGGATGAACCCAGTACCTACGTCGTTTCAATTTTTTACGCCGACAAACAGAATAAAACAACACCGTTACTACTTCTTACACCTCTATTTTGATACTGAACGTCTGTGTCGCTGCTTGTCGTCTGTTAAAAATCGCACCTAAAAAATCGCATGCGGCAGGTCGCGCGCGACATGTTGCGTGAGTGGGCTTTCCCTCTTTTGCAAGTAAAACCATGTTACTATGGAAATACGAGTACCTAGTTAGTGTAGCAGACTGCGTGATGGACTTATCTCAAAAATACAGAGAGAAAGAAAGACAGATAATGTCGAGAGTTATAGAAGAGTTTTAAACTAGGCGAGGTTTTGAACATCGCAAAATTTTTTGGTGTGATAGCAATAAAATCAGGCGCAATCAGACGATAAAGGTAAAGAATTAAAGATCGATGTCAGTAAAAATCAGCCAACAGAAAGGTTTACTTTTGCGATTTTATTTCTATTCAATCACTTATAACTGCACTCATTTCGGTTTTTAAGTTGTGGTTATTGGTATCTAATGATGGTGGTCTGCAAGTAGTTTAAAAGTTCTTTAAAAAAAGCCTGCATCAGGTAATGTAATGCTACACCTTAGCTACAGAGACAAAAAACACCAGAAGTTAAACATTAATAATTTATTAATTAAAACAGAAATACACACGTACATTTTTAAAATAACTATGTAGATTTTTGCTCCTAAACATTATTAGAAAACCTATCTTGTACGCACCTAACAAGTACCTAAACAAGAAGTACCTAAACACCATTAGAAAATCTATGACAACGTTTTTAAAAAATTTAAAAAAGCGGGGTGGGGTAGCGCAGTGGGTAGAGCTCCGGGCAATCCTGGTTCAGATTCAATCGGGTGCCAAGTTTCTTTCTAATTTTTCTGAAATTAAAAATTACAGTCAGGCTGTATGCCCTGACGGTAATTCCCTACTCGAGCATTCACTGTTGGCTTCTAATTAACAGTGCTGTCCCCATAGTGGATCAGGGAGACAGTAACAAAGCCTACACACAATATGAGGGTAATAACCATAGCAATGCCAATGACACCTAAGAAGCAAGTACAAGAATTATATCCTACTGGTGTACTACAATATAATTAACAAACCAAAACAAAACTTAAATATTTTCGAAAAGATCTACGAAAAACATCTCATTTAGGGTTAAATGTGTTCAGAAAGACCATGCTAAATACCAACATTAAAGTGGCCTTGATTAAATACTATCTATTTAACTAAATTAAAGCAAAAACAAACTTCTTAAAGTGGTCTAGCAATAGCCACGTCATTTTAATTATCTGTCAATGTTTTCAAGAACGAACTTGATAATTTTCTATTTTTTAATTAACATTTAATTTGTTTTATTGTTTATTCATCGGTTGTACTTGTTATTGATTTAGTTTTTAGTAATATTGTTTTATATTCAGTTAATATGGGCTTATGGGTCTTATATAGTTCCTGTTGGCGGCCTGTGATCTTTTCAGAAAGACAGACTACCATTTAGGTGAGGTGGCCGACACTAACGTACTAGTGCGCCTCTAAAGACCACCCAGAACTTCGCTGGGGCCTCCATTACTTACTCGTGGGACGAAACATAAATAAAAACTCACTCTTCCTCTATGCGTATTTATTCACGCTTAAAACGATGGTGCCATGCAGGCAAAACAAATGGATTACATATTATAATGGCAAACTGCTGAAGAACTATAAACACTTAACTTAACTTTACAAAAACTTAGAGCGCACTTCCGTGATATGGAAATGGTTAAGCTTACGTCATGTATTTTATTTCTGATTGGTTACACATTTATTGTTTTTTATTTCGTGAGGCGTGGCTTCGCTAGTGAGATTGTTAGAGGTGTGACTTTATTTTTATGTGTAAAGGTGGTGTTATGTATGAGATAAATGAGATAATTGTTGTGTTGTCGCATGCTGCGTGAGTGTTCAAATGTAATTTGAACAGCCCCTGCTCTTATCAAATTATAATAATAATAATAATAATAATAATAATAATAATAATAATAATAATAATAATAATAATAATAATAATAATAATAATAATAATAATAATAATAATAATAATAATAATAATAATAATAATAATAATAATAATAATAATAATAATAATAATAATAATAATAATAATAATAATAATAATAATAATAATAATAATAATAATAATAATAATAATAATAATAATAATAATAATAATAAATCAATTTCTTGAATTTCCAATTAGAGGCCATTTTTTTACTCCCGAACGTAAAACTTGTTTTACATTTAGATTTACACTTAATTGTATGTATTTTATATCCCGCATGATTGATTTATCAAAGTCATTACCTGATTAATTTTTTAAAGATTTTAATGGGATCCTTATCCAGTAACGTTTCTTCAGTGACGTTTTCTACGTCATCACCGCCGAAAATGTTGAAATCGATGTCAGTGTTCGACATAATTTGGCAGAAAGTTCCAAAACGATGTAAAAACATCGCTATGAATTGTACGCCCATCAACAATGCAAAAGAAATAAGAAATACAAAACCAATTGGTTGCAGTTGCAGATAAGTTTCTTGAATTAGGATCTAAAAAAAAATTCAGTTGTAAGTATTTGTGATTAAATAATGGGAAATATTTTTTGGAGCAAGGCCCCGGCTCCCGTGGGAAGATTTTACAGAGCTAGGATATATAGAGGAAGTAAGTTATGGTTGCAGTACAGCGAACCCAGCATAACACGATGCCACGAAAATGCAAGCTTGCATTCTCACGTCCATTCGACCTTTTCTTTATTTCATGTAAAAAGTTCAGATTTAATTTAGAATTCATTGTACTAACAAGTAGTAAAATTTATATTTTTTGAATTTGTTTTTAAAAAGTTATTTTGGACTTAATCACATTTATTTGGCGCAGTCAGTAGGATTGTAAAACGGTTCGACATAAATCGCGAAACCGGTCCGTCCTAACGGTTTATTTGCAATAACGAACTTGTGACTCCAGAAGATACTTAGTGCAGATTCAAGAAGCTGTCCAGGGAAACGGAACCAAATCGTCCATATCATATTGGAGAAGATATCGTATCTGTAATTTTCAAATCAATCAAGAAAATAAAATTTGCTTTGGTTAGAATACGATTTTAATTTTAGATAAATTTATTTGTTAATGGTTGACGATAATAGTTTAGAAGAATTAACAGGGTTATTTGAATCAGTTGTTAATATTCAAGAACAAACTATCACTGTAACGATGGCGGAAACTAATCAACAAATGCTTGAACTTTATATTGATACTATCCCTCACTATGACGGAAATCCGCACACGTTAAATATTTTTATTGATAATTGTGAAAGTTTTATTGTTCAATTTTATAGTGCAACAAACACACAGTTAAATAGTTTCTCATAAGAGCTATAATGGGTAGGTTAGTAGATAGAGCTTTAATGCTTATAGATTCAAGAACTGAATTGAGAACATGGAATGAGATTAAAGAAATCCTTGGAATAAGTTTTGGTGATCAGAGAAATATAGATTGTCTTGTCCAAGATCTAATAGTTTTAAGTCCACCCAGAAATAAAACGCCACACAGTTTTGGCATGCGCTGTCAAGAAGCGCGTAGTTTAGTAATAGGTAAATTAATTTCAAGTAATGAAACAATTGATGAAAGAAAGTAAAAATTAATAATTATAATGAATTAGCTCTTAAGACTTATATTAGGGGCTTAACAGGCCAATTACAAAATATTGTGCATCTACGTAATCCTGATTGTATAGAAAGAGCAATATCCTTAATCATTGAAGAAGAAAATTTCCTATACAGTCAAAATAGAAATAAATTATAAAACAAGTCCTAAAATAATTCGATCAAATCCGCAAAATGTTCGCCCATAACTTTCCCAATATTTCTTCCTAATTTTCAAAATAGACAACCAAATATTCAACATATACCCCCGCAACAATCGTCGATGCAACCAATTCAATTTCAACCAAACTCTGGTTATAATTTCAACAATTCTAACTTTAATCGCCCTGCTCAAATGCCATGGAGACCTAATAATAAAAATAATATTAATAATAATTTCCCCCAACAAAGATTTCGTAATTTTAATCAACAAAGCCATATCACTAGAAATGGCTCTCATTCAAGCCAATTTAGAAATTTTCCAAATCGTAACCCAAATTATAAGTTTCCTAAACCTGAACCCATGGATACATATTCGGGAAATACAAGAATAAGAAATAAAAAAAAATTTTGCTTGTACCGAAGTATTTGCTCATGATGTAAATCAACAATTTGACAACTCTTTTAAAAATAATGATTAAGAAAATTATGACAATTTCAATAATTATAACTCTAATCAACAAGATACCGCTTTTTTCGGAAATGAACACAATAATTTACCATTTAATGATACTCTTTAAAATTCAGCAAATCAAAATAACTCCGGTGATGTAAATTTTCGTCAGGAGACTTCATCAAAGAATCTTACATAATAAATCTAAATTTACCGTATATCTTCATCCCCGAACTCAATGTGAATTTTCTGATCGATACCGGAAGTGCTCGTAGTTTAATAAAACCTGATTTAGCTTATACATTTTACTACAACAATTTTTTTAAAGAAAATTTTTATATTCAAAGTGCTCATAATATCATGACGAGGTAGTAAATATATCTGTTTTTCAAATTTTTATTGTCCCAGATAATCATAAATTTTATCTATTCGAATTTAGTGATAAATACGATGGTTTAATTGGAATTGATTTATTAAAACAATTAAAAGCCTCTGTAAACGTAAGTTCAAAAACTATGACTATCCCGTATGTAAAAATTCCTATTGTGTATGAAAGTGAAGACGATACATGTTTTAATCAAAATATTCAATTTAAAAATTATCATTTAGTTATACCCCCTAAAAAACAAATAGTTAAAATACGGGTATAACATGAAAGAAGGTATCGGATTATTAGATTATAAAAAATATTCTCCTCTTGTTGAATCCCCTGTTGTTCTAGTTAACGTAAAAAATTATTTTGTCCTAACTACCATAATAAATTCAAACACTAAACCTGTAAAATTAGAATTCTTAGAACCTTTAGAGGTAGAAAATATAAACATTAACGAGATTAATTCCTTAGAAAAAATGGAAAATGTCATGATAATCTCTTAAAAGATAATTTGAAAAATGTTGACTTAAATCATTGTAATTTAGAGGAAAAATACGCAATTGAAAATGTATGCTTTGAATATCGCGATATATTTTATTGTGAAGATATTCCCCTGTAATTTACTAATCAAATTAAACATAGAATAAAATTAACCGATAAATCACCCATATTTACTAAAATGTACAAGATACCCTGAATTTTACAAAGAAGAAATCAAAAGTCAAATTAAAAAAATGTTAGACTAAGGTATCATTCAACCCTCAAACTCTCCATTTTCTTCCCCTATTTGGATTGTTCCTAAACGTCCTAATAAATCAGGAAAAAGAAATTTCCGCTTAGTTATTGACTATAGAAAACTTAACGAAAAAACTATACCCGACAAATACCCTTTACCAAAGATAACAGAAATTTTAGACAAACTAGGCAAAAGCCAATATTTCACACTTGACCTAGCAAGCAGATTCCACCGGGCGATTCGAAATTCGTCTCAGTTATCAGGTAAACATAGAAAAGGTGTACGATATTCGTCTCATACCATTTAAAGGGTCAATTTTGGCACTACGAAATTCGTCTCACTAATCCGATCAGATTTTAATTATTCCACAACCATATTTTAATATATTAAATTTGTACATATTTCGTAGAATCTTTGCTTTAGTATAATTAGAAAAGAAAATAGAATTTATATTTAGTTATTTCTAAAATTTAACCTTAGTTATTTTGATAAATAATACACATGTCAGATGTTAATCAGAAATAAATAATTAATAATTGATTCTTCATAAAAGGGATGGAATTCTAATTTATTAAAGGTAAAATAAATCAAATTTAAATCGATTTACATAAATTTGCGTTAAAAATGACGACAGAATGGATGAAATAATTTCATTTGTGTTTTTATATTCACAACTTAATCCTAATTTTTGTATTTTGCGCCACCAACACTGGGTAAGATGAAATCGACAGCCACTAACCGTTGCATTATCCCACACTTTATGACCAGCATTATGAGTGGCAATTTCAAAATCAACTACTATTCTTTTAGGATTGAAACATAAGCCATTAAGGAAGCATAAATGCTTAATTTTTTCAAAACAATGCCTATATATCTCCTCCTATTTTTTTTTTAATAAATTAAAAACGAGAGGTATATAATGTCCATTTAAGTAACCATGTATGGTGAATAATTGAGTAAAAAATTTAGTGCAGTATTGGAATGTTCCATCCATGTATATGGTTTGAATCCAAATGCAATTGTTTCTTTTATTTGCTCTCGATGTAGTTCGCCTATTTTTCTTTGACTAGGTATTAATAGTAGATTAAATACCTAGACGGGAAATGCATCAAATGATAATTTCCGCCAAGGTTTACATACTATTTTATTCACAATCATTTAATTAATTAAAAAATATATAGTTAATGTCTTTAAAAATATTATGTGTAATATACTCGAGAGAAAGGCTCTTGTCTCGTCTCGTTTCTCTCGTGATAAAATAATGTCAAATTTAAATTTGAAAAAGACGAAACATGAAAAAACGGTAAAATTTGTAAGACTAAAACAAAGAATTTTTCAAGTAATTTGCGCATTAGTACCCAAATTTGGCAATAAGAAACACTTATGTCTCTCTGTCTGTCCGTCTGTCACAGTCGTTTTACAATTGAAATTTGAGGTAGGTAATAAGTGGCCCAGATTAGGCGTTAACTAAAAGCGAAAATACTTTGTCTTGTAAGTCAGTTGGGAAGGGGGGAAGAGGTTAAATTGGAAGTTAGAATTTTTCTAATGCAATCCTGCGATGTCAAATGAAAACATTTTGTAGTATGTTTTTAAAATGCAAGAAGATAGAGACATAAAACAAAAACGATGTGAAATTAGAGAAATATTATGATATTTTTGTTATAATGAGATGCACTTTACTTGAGACGTAAAATAGAGGGCGTTACTTTTTTTAATTTTTTTAATGGAAAGTAAAGTCATGTAATACCTCATTTAAAATATATTTTGATTATATTTACGTCCAAGCAAGTTTTTTTGTTTTTACAAAAATTACATTCTTGATAATCCTTGTGTGCCGCAATAATCCTAGAAATGTTAGATAATGTTAGAAGATAATTTTTTAATAAGCTTTTTTTGCTAAGAAGTTATGAAAAATTTCATACGTCAAGTGGTTTTTTTGATATTCTTAATTTATTTATTTTAGTAAATACAAGAAGCGTTTCCTTAGTAATAAACAATAATTGTTAATACGAGAGTTATCAAGAATGAAACTTTTGAGTGTTAAATCCCTCTAACAGTAAAAAATTACTTAAATTTATAAAAGATACTGACATTTACTCTGTACTAGCCAAAATGTTAATTATCCATTGTATACTATTGTAAAAAACAGCATTTATAAGGTATTATACCTTCGGTAATGATCCTTTGAGTTGAAGCGGTAAATAAAAAAAAAATTTAACCTACTTTATGAATTTATTTAAAGTAATTTCTGTAAAAACATAAAAACCTAAATCTGTTTAGATGAACGTAAAAATGTAGAAAATATTTTTGAAATGAGGTATCACATGACCCTACTTTCCATTAGAAAATTTAAAGCTAGTAACTCCCTCTATCTTAGGTGTCTCAAGTAAAGTGCATCTTTATAACAAAAATATATCTTCAGTTTTACCTCGTTTTTGTTTTGTCATTTAGAAGTTAAAATAGAGGAGGGTACATTTTTCGTCCTCACTGTATATAATACATTCGTTTGTAATACCTTTTCTGTGACAGTTTTTCGAAAAAACGCTTAAAAATTTTCAACTCATCTTCAAAAGTAACCTCAGAAAAGCAGAATGGATTAAACATAAGAAATGATTGTATAAATTTTAAATAAATGAAATGAGAAATATGTGGTTTGAATCCAAATGCACGAAGACGACATACCTAAAACAGCTTTTTCGACACATAACGGACACTACGAATTCAAAAAAATGCCCTTTGGACTTCGTAACTAACCCTCAACTTTTCAGAGAGTGATGGACAATATATTAAGAGATTTACACAAAGAAACTTGCTTAGTCTATTTTATTTAGACGACGTAGTAATTTTTTCGACATCTCTTCAAGAACATATAGAAAGATTAAAATCTGTTTTTGACTGTTTAAGGCAATATAATTTCAAAGTTCAAATAGACAAATGCGAGTTTCTTCGCAAGGAAGTCGCATACTTAGGTCACATTATTATCTATTTTTTTTTTAACTTTTAGGTTTATAATTCATACATTTTCTAGGACATTTATTTTTCCTAATACCTTACTACAGGAATTATTCTCCTCTTTATAGTAAAAATCTGAATAAAAAACGAAGCCCATCCTTTCAAATCGCATCAAAAACGTATATCTCCAACATAATAGAATATTTGTTATCCTCAAATACCTTGGTACTTACTTCATTAACATCTTCAATGAAAGTGAAATTAATTTTCGGTGCAATAGGCCAATTGACATGAATAATATCTTGTTGTAGATTAAGCAGAAAAATAACCAATACGAAAAGTGCGTTCAGCATAAAAAAGGTTAACACCATCTTGTCTCTGAGATCCTTCAGATCTTTTTCTACTATATGCTATAAAAAACAAATAAATATTAATAGATTTTATGCAGAATCTTATTAATACCAATAGTATTTGTAAATTATGCAAAGCCCATCATCATAAGGAGTGTTAAATTTCCTAAATACGTTAATTTTTTATTTATAACGAATTACAAGGGGTAAATCGCACAAGAAATTAGATGAACAAGGGTATGAAATTGCGAGAAATTTACAGGTTCAAAGTAATTATTGAATTTGCCGGGAATTACAAGATTGGCAGAGAAATTACAGGAATTTCTGGGGCTTTGCATATGAACTGCCGAGAATTTAAAAAACAATTCTAAAGGACTTGCGGAAACTGGATAGTACTTACTTTTTTTGAAGTTTCATCCAGCGGATACAAATACTTTTGTATGAATTTTTCCCAGAATGTCTTTTCCCTTCTGTCTAAGTATTGCACTTCACTGTATAGCAATGCTCCCTGGTAAAACCAACTATTAGCATCTACATCATCAGATGGGGTAAAGTTTGATTCTTCATCGTCTTCAAATTCGTCAGCATACGATTCAGATTCCGGTACGTTAGGATTAATAGTCGAAGGTCTGAAAGAGGCTCTAAAAACATTGAAATAAATTTACAGGATATTCAAATAATATGGATAACTACTTTAAACAAAAATTGAGAATATATATATATATATATATATAAAAGGATTATTGGGCAAATACCGCAAAAAATGAAAAAAAAAAAAAATGCCTAAAGGCAAACCGTAGACACGTGTTTCTGACTATTGGTCTTCATCAGTACGGTGCAGCCAAGTTCAAAAGAGAATGGAACTAGCGATGAAATCAAATCAACAGGAGATCACTTACGAACAAGATAGATATCGCCATAAAACGAAAATAATTTTTTTCGAACCGGTTTATTTTGAGCAAAAAATTCAAGAGACATTTTTTGTTCAGAATGAAACAGGCTATCGGAAATAAAATTTTAAATGGTAAACAAATAATAAGACAAAAAGTTACGTTGAAACGAAATTTTATGGGTTGCGTTTTCCACCCCTTACAACCATGGGGTAAACCAAATAAATTACTGGCTGTCTTTTTGGTAGTAGAAAATTACAGGTTAATTTCAATATTGTAACTTGTTTAGTGCTTGTGAAAAGAATTGTTAAACAAATTTTATGTACCCCCTTTAAGGGGCTGTATCTTAACAAGGGATGTTCCAATGAAGTTTCTTTATATGAAAGATTCTATCTTTTTTTCGATGAGGAATCACCCCTTAAATGTTTTACACTTATTTAGTTACACCCTTATCACTTGTCACATAGTGTATTTAGCTATGAACATGTGTTGTGCTCAAAAATACAAAATGCTTACACCTACTTACCCATCCTGAATATTTTTTGTTAATATAGTCTTATGTATCGAACATATCCGAAGAATATTGACAATATAATAATTCCAAGTGACATAGAGATTCATTCCCCAAATAATTAGAAATATTCTTGTACTATTCCAGTGAATCTACTAGAATCCAATTACAATAAGAAGAACACAGTTACGTCATAACTATTATTTTGAATTTCAATATATATGATCTATAACTATCAATTAATAAAGAATATGTAAGTTGTTTGGTTTAAAAATATTGCTCCTACATTCCTATAATATTAACACGCGACTAAACCCCCAGTAGGCGGCGATAGTCAACGAATTACTCCGCCAAATGATGACGTAGCTGTGTTCTTCTTATTGTAATCGGACAAGACTTTTTTTTAGATTCAAATTAATTACCTGGCTGCTTTCATCCCTATAAAATGTTCAGTACCTCTTGCGGTTTTCCTCGGTTCCATGAATTCGGAATTTAATCCATTCCTCTCTATATTGTTTAGCCTTTGTTGCACCTGTTGCAGAGAAGTGTGAATGTTACGTAAAATTTCCCTTTCTTCGCCTTTTCCGTCGTAAGTACAGCACATCAATTTAAAAAGCCCACCAAAAGAGAACTCCATAGAACCAGTGTTGTCTTTTTTGTCACCGAAGAATGACATAATGCCATTTTGAGCTGGCTTCGGGGATGGTTTTGCTTCTGGTGCAGGTTTTCCTTTATCATCTTTGTTCTGAAGTAAAAAATTTAAATATTAGACCAGTAAAAACCGTTAATGAAAATCCAAAGTTGCGTTTAATTAGTTTAAAAAAGTAATATTAAAATGATTATTCTACAGTTCAGCAAATAATAAATGAAATTAGTAAACAAGAATCACACAATTAGAAAATTTAGAACAACAAAATTGAAGGGGAAGGGGATAACTAACAAAACAATAATGAACATAAAATCACTCTTTTGTGTTTCCACCTGGAACTTTTATTTAAAACTGAATTAAAGTATGACTTTTTGGCATAATGTTACTTGTTAGTTGTACTATTAAACTAATTGTAAATTTAAAAAAAAATACTGTGGTATTACAAAAAAAGATAAATATTGGTGATGCAGATGGATAAAGGAGACATTATGAAAAAATAAGAGTTTATAAAATATGTATCTAAAAATGTACTATTCTACAAAACGTTTTCTTATTTTCATTGACTTCTTTCCCTGTAAAGAATAACTCATAAAATCAACGATGCTGTCGAGGAACATATTTAATTTGTTCTTTTAAATCTTCAAGTTTTGGTTGTGACACACTGTCCCTGGTATTCTCCGCTGGCATTAATTGAGGTAGAAGCAAATTTTGTTTTTGTCGATTGTTCAAAAATAACAAAAAAAATTTCTCAGATACTTCAGTTACTTTATTTATAATCCATATAAATCATCACGTATAAATAAAATATAATAAACATAAGAGCAACAATGTATTTTATTATCCATTCAGTACATTATATCACCGAACTTAAAAATATTTGAAGATGGCTCTGTCTGCATAGCAACAGTAAACATAATCTTATTGTTTTGTGAATTTCAGGTAAACATATTTGCACACCTGCATTTTATTTACAAACATTTAGTGCCTATTGATCATCCATCTCCCTTATGAATAATTATTAACAAATTAAGCATTAACACTCACACTGGTAACTTTGTTTTGCTTGCGTCAACATAAGTATAATAAAAAATAGAAAACTACTAATGTCCTTCAACCAATCACAACAAAAACACACCTACTATCGCAACTACTTATACTCGACTCGACAAGAAAAACTTTGAGAACGATCTTGACTACCGACACAATAACATCGTTAATTTCTCCCGTCGTGAGCTCGATGCCAAAAACATATATTTTTAAATGATGTATTAAACCTGTTACCTTCTAAATGTTCAAAATTAATAAATTTTAAGTACTGGTATTTTTCCTATGTAAAATTTTTGTAACCTAAAGGAAGTTTAGTGTAAATAAAGTTGTTAATTGGAAAACACATTTAATCTCATCATAATTCAACAAAAATCTAGTTGCATTATTACTCTCCACTGCTCCCAGCTGATGGGAAGAAACCCTTTCTTTCTGTGACAGTGATTGAGAAGAAACAAAGTTGCAGAAAACATGGTTCTTCAAAGCCGAAAATTACTTTTGAACTTGATCCCATGGTAACCCTAATATGTATCGATCATGTCGTAGTTTTAAAAAATGAAAAGGTGGCAAACCTATTCTTATCTGATTATTCGTTATGTAGAAAATGCAAAGAGAAGGACAACACTCCTGTATATAGATCCAAGGTGTAAAGTAGAAATAACAGAGGACCCAACACCGAACCGTGGGGTACGCCTGACTTTATTGGAATTGAGTTTGACTTCTGATCATTAGCAATAACCTTTTGAGAACGATTGTGTAGGTATGTTTTTATGAATCCCAAAGATTTATCATCGAATCCGTAATATGAGCACTTCGCAGAAAGCAGTTTGTGATTTGTAATGTCAAACGCTTTACTAAAGCCTAAAAGAATTACTGCTCGATTTTCTTCATTTTTTCTTGTTCATGCTGTTTAGAATATTATCTGATAGATATGCCAGATAAGTTGTAGTACTGAGACCTTTCTGATATCCTGACTGATGTAATGGAATTATATGTAATATAGTTTATGTAAAGATTTCGTTCAAAAGATCTTCATTAGGTTGTTTGTCGTTTAGATTTACATCTTTTAGTATACGACGTGGATTAAATTTATTTATCTGTTCCACACTGTATTTGGAACCTAAAGCATTATTAACACAAGATTTTAAATTTTTTAAGAAATCATCATTTTCGCAATTCATTATTATTCCACCTCTAACTTTTTTAACACTGTCGATACGGATATTTTTGTCACCAGGATGAATATGCTTCTGAATGTCCTTTAAAACATCATCATTGTTAATTGAAGATCCTTGGGATTTTATCACTAAACCGGGTTTTTTTTGTTGATGTATTTTTAAGTGCACTACTATAAGATGCTAGTTGGTTTTGACCTTTAGAAGAAATATTTGTACTCACTCCAGATCCAGAATTATTTGAATTAATTATCATACCCAGTTTTTCTTTTAAGAGCTCATTCCTGCATTTTAACTCACTGTTTAGGGAGATTAATAAACTATTTTCACGTTTTAGAGATTCGTATTCAGTTTTTTCGGGTACAACGCCTATCAGTTTTTGCGGCAAAAGAACTTTTCCATCATCGCAGAACCAAAAAACGCTATCATTTCTGTTGATAAATTTTAAACAATCATCTTTTACACGTACACAGTGGGAATGAAAATACTTTTTACAACTAAAACACTGTATTTTACTAGTTTTCTCAACAAAATTGTCGAAGCAATGGTCACATATGACCACGTCTCCCGTCATCTACCCACTTCGGTTACTCTAGTCTTTGGAATCTATATATAATTCACAAAGACATCGCTGAGGTTCAGACTGCGTTCAATTCCATTACAACTAAACAACTGTGTACGTTTAGTATCCTTCGACCAAATATACTCGAAGATAGTATCGCATAAATATTTAAAACCGGGCATCGCTATACGACAAGACCAAAAGGTGCTCAATTAATGATGAACAGCCTAATTTTAGGGTCTTCTATTAGCTGAACCCATCCTTTCTCAAATTTCTATTTGTAGTAACCCGTAAAAACAGCCAGTCAAAGTGGACTACGATATCCAATCGTAAGTCTGTGATTCTGCTCAACTTATGTTCTAATTGGTTCTTCGCCACGCGTGGCTGTGCCATCGCTGTGTTGGTGAGGACAGGTGGGTGTTTGTTTATCCAGTGTTGTATTGACATTACTGTGTGAATTTTTGATTTTTATAAAAATGTAATCCCTGGAGGTATGTAAATAATTATAATTCTGATTGAACATTTTTTAAATAAATAGGAACGTTGCACTTCGAAAACAATTAAATTTATATATAAATACCCACATAAATTGAAAAATTTAAATGGTTCCAAGTCGGCTTTGGCGATTTACATTATTTTTTACCTATACAGGGTGATTCACAAAGAAAATGTAATGTTCGACCTGTAGATTCGATAGTGGAAAATGTTAATTTTTTGTTTAATAACTAGGGGTCAAATATTAATTCGTACTGCGAAAAATGTATTAATTGTAAAAACTGTAGAAGAACACTTAATTAAGAAAGTAAAGAGATAAATAAACTTATATTAACTATGTAGATAATTACTATTTCATTCATTATTTGCTAGTTTTAGCTAAGGGTAGATTCTAGATGATAAATTATTAAAAAAAATCATACCTCTTTGGGTTTAACCACCACAGTAACTTCTCGAGTACCCCATGATACATTGTTCATATTGAATATGGAGTAGATAACTAACAACATGTACATACTGGGTACAGTGACGTAGTAAATAATGCCGTATTTCAAACAATAGAATTCCTGCGGATGCATGATAGCGCTGATAACAAATTCGGCTGCTGTGGCTATTAAGAAGAGAGAGGATGGTGCCATCCAACCATCTTGTTCTATTTGAATCATTATACCCACAAAGACTGTCATCATGACCAAACCATAAACGGCACTTATCAATCCGGCAAAGAATAACTAAAAAAATGTTAATTAATTACAATAGGTTGAAGTTAAATTTATTTTATTTTCAAAAAATTTATGTGACATAAAATTTATATCCAACTTTATTTTATCAGTAGCAAAGCTAATGGTTTGAATATTAAATTTTATTTTTAAAGAAAGGTACTTTTGCGATTAATACCCAGACAGCACACCAAATCCTTTGGATATATACTGAACATCCCAATATCCACTGAATGTCCACTCCATGGTGGATATCTGTTTTATATCCATGATATGTAATTTATAGACATGCAAATGTCCATAAATAATAGTAATTATATAGCAAATTATTAAAAAATTATGCCATTGTGCTCGCCATTGTGGCTAATAGTACCGTTCAGATATTTAAAATTAATTTTTTTAAGGTGTATTCAATATCCCGTGGACATCCACTAAATATATCAAAGTCTAGGCGCGAACGCAAACCATCGTGGATATCCACTAGATGTAATTTTTGATTTTGCTTACTAAGTATAGATGGCGATACCACTTTCGCATCTACTCATGCTTAACCCGCCGTAATTGAGTTCGATCGAAATTTGTTTCCCAATCAGACTCCATTAGAGACTGGAGTCGAGAATTTCCATTTATTGCTGAAGAGTCCTAATAAGGATGACTTTCTCCTTAGTGGGCAAAATCAAAGGCAGAGTGTTGAAAATATTTTTTCTCTGCTATTTTCTTTCGACGTTATTCAATAAACATTGGTTACTCTTATGAACCTCTACTAAAATAAAAATACGGGTGTCCATCTATAAATTGACACATTTTAACAACTTATAACTCGAAAACGGAAAAAGATATCGAGATGCAGTTTTCACTAGACCTTTTACATTTACTTCAAGTTTTTTTTGATATTGTTGTCACATGTAATTTTTTTCTGGAAAGTGCCGAAAAAAAAACGAACTTTTTTGAATCAAAATTGTGAGCTTATTTTAAATAGAACACCCTATAATTTTTAACATCCTCGGAAAGACCATTTCTTTCCCTTTCCAAAAATGTATTCATTGTAAGCATTTATTCAATTTTTTTGGGAAAAATTTACTTTTTTATGAAACCATGTCGATAACTTCTAAACGTAAAGTATCACAATTTAAAAGCCTTTAACTCGATAATGTGACAATTTATTGATAAGAGGTTTTGACTAAAATTCTGGGAAATGTTTAATTTTTTTATAAAATGGTTGTAAAGTCTCAAATGTCTAAAATTTTCGTAATAGATTACTTTTACCAATTCAGATTAAGGGCTTATGATGAATAAAATTCTTCGTATTTGTAACGTTCATTTGCAAGCCTTTATCCATAAATCATTTAAAAGAATGTCTTAAGCGTTTTGAATATGTACCTATATCTGTTTTTTGTTGTCTATTTAATAATCCTCTTTTGTAAATTTGTAAATTAACTTACTCAGCTTTGGATAGAATATGAATGAGTCAATAAATAATACTACTAATTTATCAAGGGTGCTATGTAAAACAAATCGAGTTGACAGAAGTCTATATTTGTATTAATTATTGCAAGAGAAAGCAGGTATTAAAAAATGTTTACCAAAAGTGAAAAAGCCCGGTGCGTTTTACTTTATATTGAAAGTAGATCAATTACACATACACAAAGAAGATTTAGAAATATGTTTGAAAAAAATTTGCCAACCAGAAATTCTATTTTAAACTGGGTAAGTCAGTTTAAAGAAACGGGAACATTAGATAGAATAAAAAGACAAATTGAAAACGCTCAAGATATTATTTTAAATGATGTTATACAGATAAGGGAAATTTTAGCAAGAAACAATAATAAAATATCTATTAGAAAAATTGCCCAATCCATACATATGTCAAAGAGTAAGGTGCATAAAATTTTAAAAGTAATCAAGTTTAAAGCATATAAGGTTCAGACTTTTCATAAAATTGAAAATCATGCATTTGAAAAGATTTATTTAGACATCAACCAAATGTAAATCTAATAATGTCAGATGAAGCAACGTTTCATTTAAGTGGACGCGTAAACAAACACAATTGTAGGATTTGGGGTGACGAAAATCCTAGAACTTTCAACGAGTTTGAAAGAGATGCTCCCAAGGTAAATGTATGGTGTGGTGTGTCCAAAACCAAAATTTATCGACCATTTTTCTTTCAAGAGGAAACAGTATATGGAAACAATTACACGGATATGCTAGAACTATTCTTTTATCCTCAACTAGAACAAGAAGAAATACTAAATACTGTATATTTGCAGCAAGATGGTGCTCCACCGCATTACTCTCTTGTAGCCAGGTCGGGCTGGTCCCATCGAATGGGCTCCATATTCTCCGGATTTAACTATACCAGATTTTTTATATGGGGGTATGTTAAGGAAAGATGCTACGATCCAACACCTACAAACTTAACTGAACTGAGGAATAATATAATTCATGTGTTTAATACAATTACCCCAGAAATGCTGCAAAATGCATTTATAAATTTTTTAATGCATCTGCATACATGTATTGAACAAAATGGAGGCCATATTCAACAATTAATTTATTAATGTTTTAGTAGGTACATATTTTTTGTATTCAATAAAAATTCAGATAGGTACCAACATGGTGGGACACCACTTACGCCACAAAAATCCGTGTGGTATGAGGTGCTCCCCTCTGTTTTTATAAGTAAAATATCATTACTTGATATTATTCTGAAATTTATACCTAAGGGACAAGGCAATGAAAAACAGTATCAAATCAATGATCGTTCGATGTAAAACGTCAATTTATATTTCGATATGTGCCACCAAAATGTAATAGACACCGTTAACATTGATTTAATTACCTAAAATTAAAACCTATTAAAGCAATAAAAACATTATAAAAATTGACTTTTTTTAAAAGGCGAAGAAATAAACTATCTAATGACTATGAGAGATACGAAATGTTTCATTCGCCATAAGACTTTAATCTGAATTCAATTTTTTTTTACGAAAACTTTACAAGTTTAAGATTTGGCAACTATGTCAGAAAAAAATTTAAACATTTCCAAGAATTTTGGTGAAAACCTTTTATCAATACATTACCTTACTTATTGACATGGTTGCATAAAAAAGTGAATGTTTCCCTAAAAAATAAAGTAAATGCTTACAATGTATACATTTTTAGAAAGGGGAAGAAATGGTCTTTCCGAAGATGTTAAAAATTATAGAGTGTTCTATTTAAAATAAGCTCACAATTTTGGTTCAAAAAAGTTCGTTTTTTTTTCGGCACTTTCCAGAAAAAAATTACATGTGGCAACAATGTCAAGAAAAACTTGAAGTAAATGTAGAAGGTCTAGTGAAAACTGCATCTCGATATCTTTTTTAATTCTCGAGTTATAAGTTGTTAATTTATAGATATTTTGCTGAATATCCGAATTCTTCTATATCCTGGGATAAAGACGGACATTTGGTTGGATATCCAGAAAATATATTCTGTGAATGTCTCTGGGATTTCTCGTATTATCTGGAAGATACCCATTAGATATTTTGCTGGATAATCCGTAGATATCTTCTATATTCTGGATATAGACGGACATTTGGATATCCATATTAGATCCATGGAATATTTCTGGTATCCTGTGGATATATTGGATATTCACAAAATATATTCTGTGGATATCTCTGGGATTTGGTGTGTTGTGTGGGTATTGAAGCTTAATAATCAAAAATCAAAACAATTGAATACTTTATATATAGCGCCTTTAGAAATTCAAAATATTATACTTTTGTAAATAATTGCCTGTGAAATGGCCGATATTTTTTTACGTTTTATTTTGCCGCCATTATTGTGACAACCGCAGCTTTAATATCGGTAAATCAAAATCATATTTTATTATGGAAATGATGTAAAAATATCTACCTGTGTATCAGATTTACATGTTGCGCAAATGATAATAAATAGTAAAACTGGTGCAGTGTTCATAACCATACTATAATACTGTGAAATTTTAAAAGCTGCTACAAATGCTCCAACTAACATAAGGAATATTGTTCCAGGTCCAATGACAGTTCCTATCATCAATACAACCTAAAAATAAAATATAAATGTTAGAAAAATGGTTAGCCGAATTTTTTCCCACTCGACCATTCACTGTTGGGTACTAATGAACAGTTCTGTTCCTACAGTGGCGCTGGGAAACAGTAACAAAGCCTACACAGAACACGAGGATAATAACCGTAGCAGTTGATGCCGATGACACAAAAAAAAAATATCCGAATTTTTCTAAGGTTTCAAGTCGAGTACTTTATATCTCTTCGAGTTACTTTTGAACAAGAATATTAATAAACTTTATATTTTTTTTTTCTTTAATTTTACATACTAAAGAACGAAATTAAAGCACGAGAAACGAAAAAAAAGTTTAATGAAAACAAAAAAAAAATATAAAGTACTCGATTTGAAACTTTAGAGAAATTCGGAGCGACCTTTCAATATTAAAATTTCGACTTGAAATTTTCAGGATCTTTATGATTTTTCTTATAGAAAAAAAAAATCAAATATTAAGAAAAAAAAATTTAAAAATTTCGACGATTTTGGAATTTTTTAAAAATTCGGAGCGACCCTTTAAAATTTTTTTTAGCTGTCCTTTGGAGGGCTCTTAAAACATGATAAACTAACATATTTTCATGGGAGTCTTAAACAAAAAAAATGTTCGCTTTTTTTGGGCCACCCTAATGTATATACTTACTTGATAGAGAATATAGAATATAGAAATATTGTCGTTGACTTTTATAATATGTTTGTAATCAGTTAACAGATCCATAATATTGGCCGTAGTGGAAGGCATCCATCTTCTTCTTTGATTATAGAATTCATTAAAACCTTCAGGACAATGGGTATAAGCATCCGAAGCTGCAGAATATTCCACACGATATCCTCGTTGAAGTAATAATGTACACAACCAACGATCTTCTCCTAAAAGAAATTTATTGGTCAAAACCAAAAATCAACACGCATAAATTTAGTGATATAAGAGTTTTTACGGATCCCAGGAGAGGCAATGGAGCAATTATCACTCCCTTTATGAGTAGTTGATGCTAAAATACAAATCAAAACAAAAAAGAGAGCACACACTACAAATCCAACAAATTGTTCGCAAAAGTTTTGGATCCGCCCCTGATTCTTACCTTGATCATATTGTACATAATGTCTGGCTTCACTTGCTTCAGTGGTATATTTCGCCATTACGTTGTCGTCCATAAGAGCTCCTGCTCTAAATAGTGAGAAGCAACCAGGACTACAAAGTACGCAACCTATCACGTGCTCTGTTGCCTTCTGCAGCCAATGACCAACAGCGTATTCGAATATTTGATACCATGCCATAGCTCCAGAACCTACTGGATGAATACGACCACACGCAGCACCTTTAACACAATATATTTAGATGAAGTCTCGAAGACAATACCAATAACTAATGTTATTAACTACTAGTTGACAGGTACATTTATTAACTTACCTAAACCTTGATTTTTTTTCATATAATCTACTAAAAGATGAACGGCTTCAGGTTGAAAATCTATGTCACCATCCAAAGCTAAAATATATGTGTTCTTGGCCATATTCTTAATCATACCTGCAGTATTTTGATCGTTATCCATTATTCTGGAAATAAAAATTGCTTCAGTTGTATAATTCTATTAATTACCTCTACATTTGTTTCACACCGACTTACCTATATCCAAGAAGATAGTACATATACATAACTTGAGACCATCTCTTCTTTGGTCGAATTTTTGCTTTGTCTTTCAAGTGAGCTATCATTTTAGTTCTACCCGGTAGCGTCCAAACTAGTCTACCCCCGTATGGTGTAGAGTAAATTATTGGTGGTTTGATTTTAACATTGATCTCGTGAACGTTGCTTGCCGCTTCGCTGACGGAGTCTATGAGATCCAAAACGTATTGGTTGACGTTAGGATCTGGATCGTCTTGACTTGTTCTGATAAATGCATCGTCAAAGAAAATATGTGCTAGAAAATGGAGTAATATTATATTAATAGTATATTACATTACGAGTGTGGAAAGTGACATTTTTCACACGAGTGGGAAATATTGTCGCACGAGGCGTAAGCCGAGTGCGACTATCACACGAGTGTGGAAAATCACTTTTCACACAAGTGATGTACAATATTTTTCCTACGACCACAAAATAATTTCATCAAAAAATGTAAAACCAGATTATTATAATAATTAAAATGTATTTTAAAAAATAATCAACAATAATCGTATTTATTAAATTTTCATAATTTCTAAACAAATAAATAAAAATAAAAAAAAAAAATAAAAAAAAAATTCTGGCACAGCCAGGATTCGATCGCGGTCGTTGGACGGTCTCAAATTGCAAAGTTGATGCTCTAACCAACTGAGCTAACAGGCCTTACGGTAATTGATTGATCTAATCGCTTATGTGTTTAACCAGAATAAAAAGCAAATATATCTTAGTTATTTTAAAATTATTTTAAAAATAATTGTTAAAGATAAATATCTAGGATCTAATTTACAATAATTTAACAATCATATCGATTTTAGTATTAATATGTACATTACATAGATCAAAATAGAAATTATGTGTTTGACATTTTCTGACAGCTACTGCGGAAAGTAGCATATTCTCACTTGGGTTGAAAGTAAATTCTTATTCATACGCGTGTGATATAGGGCACTTTCCATAGGTCTATATAGTGTGATATGTGTCACTTTCCTAAGTGGTCGTAGGAAAAATTAATATTACAACACGAGACTGGCGAGTCGCTCTAGCTGGTATGACTAGTGATGAGATAATGTACGAAATAGAGCAAAGAAAAATCATCAGATGTACGTTAATGACTAAAGGAGCGAGATTTTTTAGAGAATTTTGAGTCTTTAATTAAACATGTAGTCTTTTTCCAAAGCTGCGGGACTGATTACGGAATTTTTTATATTTGTTTAATAATTTTATATGAAGAGGTAGAGCGTTACAGAACTTTGTCCCTAGATAATTTACACTGTTTTTAAAAAACTCACTATTTGGGTTTGGTACTTTAATGCACATGTTCGATGAAGTTCTAGTGTTATGTCTATGTTCTAAAGGGTTTTTTAAAAATTCATTTTTTTGTATATAACAACACACTGCGTGAATATATAAACATCTAACATTGCTAATTTTTTCATTATAAAAAGTTATGGTGGGACACAATCTATCTCTTTTATATATTAACTTCAAGATTTTGTTTTGAATAACATTTAACTGATTTAATGTAGATCCATACAGGCCTCCCATAATAAGATTCCATACCGTAGTACAGATTCTACTAAACTGTAATGTTATTAGTAGATCCTGGTTGAGAAATTGTTTTAGAAGATAAAATTTATAAATCAGAAATCTAAGCTTTTTTGCTATATATATTATATGGCAGTCCCGTTTTAAGTGCTGGTCTATAATTATACCTAAATATTTGGATGTTTCTGTTTCCTGTATGTCTAAATTTTGACATGTTAAGCTTCTAAATTGAGGTCGATCAGCCACTGTCTTTGGAAAAGCAATGTAGTTTATTTTGTTAACATTCAAAGACAATTTAAAAACATCCAGCCAGTTTTTGACATATTCCATTCCAGCTATAGCACGTGTCTTGACGGCTTCCCAATCTTTATCACTAAAGACTAGCACTGTATCATCAGCATATGATACAACTTTACCTTGAATTTCAATCTGAGATAAGCTCTTAATGTATAAATTAAATAGTATAGGTCCCAGAACAGTCCCTTTGAGGCACTCTGATTTGTATATTTTCAGGGTTACTCACATTGTCTCTGACCTTTACCTTCTGTTGTTTGTGTGTCAAATAATTTTCAAAAATCTTCAACACGATGCCCCTCACTTCATTCTATTCAAGAACATTTAAGAGCTTCTGATGTGGCACCGTGTCAAATGCTTTTGCTAGATCTAGAAATATACACTTGTTACCAGTATTCATTTTATAAGTAACATATGAAATCAATTCATGCATAGCATCTCCTGAGTTAAGACCCTCAGTAAAGCCATATTGATGTTTGGGAAGTAAGTCATTAGTTTTTATAAAAATCTGTCAGTCTATCTTTCACACATTTCTCAAATATTTTGGCCACATTACTAATTAAACTAATAGGTCTATAGTTAGTTATTAATTTTGGATTATCAGCTTTATAAATAGGTGTTATAATTGGAGTTTTAAATTGTTTAAAAATACAATTAATTATATGCAATAAAGGTTCTAGCACAGTTAATAGCTTAAAAGAATCAGTTCGCTCACTCTGCGTCGGCACTTTTGATCTCAATGTTCCATTTTATACATTGCGCAACTCGGATTTGTATCCCTGGCGCATACATAATCAAATCATAATAGCCCAAGAGCCCACTGTAAATTTTTACCGCCATCTGATAATGAAGTAAAATATACCCCAAAAGCTTGTAAAAACATTGTACTTTACCGAATGGCACCTGTGACAATCCCAATCCTGAGCAAAGTGTTTCAAAAAAAAAACATATTCAAATATATCTTGATAAATATAGTTAACGGCAAACATTTTCTTCCTCTTAACATCGCACAAAAACATCTACACACGATTAGTAGGTAAAAATCATTAAAAATATGAATCAATTTTGGCTGACTTAATAATTTATTTGTATGCCTATTGTTGTGATTCATTTTTACAGGTTGTCATAGAAACGACAAAAAACTACCATGATTATGATTTAAAAGAATTGTCTAACAAGAGTTTATAATTATTGAATATCTCTGCCAAAGTTAGGTAAAAATATTAATAATTCTGGTTTAAAAACTAGGTTCACAATGAATTAGGATTGTAATTTTCAGAGGAAACACCATTATCGCTGTCATGTCTTATGTAATTTTTTGAATATAAAATAATTTTGTTTTAACCACTTTGCTCTGGATTACAGATTTGGTAAAGTACAATGTTGTTACATGTCTTTGGAGCATATTTCATTTTGTTATCAGATGGCAGTCGTAATTTGCAGTGGGCTCTCCTACTATTACCAATTAAGCATTCCAACGACCTGTCAAACAATAGCTGTCAGTGAGAAGGTCTGGTATATCTAAGGGGGTAGAGACATAGCCTTGCATCTTGAACGTGTTTTTTTATTCGAAATAATAGTCACAAAGCCTGCCAATTTATAAAAAAATGTATCTTATTTTTATTGTGTTTGACATAAAATATTTAAATGTAATCCATTATTCATGATTTTACGTATTGTAAACAGAATATATCGTATGTCGCAACCCTTGCATATATCAAATCTTCCCACTGGCAGTTCATTTGTTTGGAATGCCTAATTAGGCATTCCAAACAAATGAATTACCAGTGGGCAGGTTTGGTATATCTAAGGGTGGCGACATATGGTGTATTCTATCTACTTTACGTAAAATCATGAATAATGGATTACATTTAAATATTTTATGTCAAACACAATAAAAATAATATTTAAAAAACCCACCTATACATTTCTTCATAAATTGGCAGGCTTGGCGAGTACTACTTCGAATAAAAATAGCGTCCAAGTTGCAAGACTATGTCGCTACCCCCTTAAATATACAAGAATTTCCCACTGGCACCTATTGTTTGACAGGTCGTTGGAATGCCTATTACAATATATGACAACCGCCTATATTCAAACAGCAGTCTTCTGCGCATCCTGAATTTGTATCCCTGGAGTGGATGTTATTTTGGAACATCCAATTAGTCCGAGTGAGCGAACTGATTCTTTTAAGCTATAAACTGTGGTTCTAGTAAATACGGATGTAGTAGTTTCAGATGTTTTACTGTTATACAATCAAATCCCCGGGCACTATTGTTTTTTAAACTATTTATGTGTTTTATAATATCGTTTTCGCATATCGGTTTCAGAAATATTGATTTTTCAGTGACACAGGAAAATCCACATTACATTCAGGGATATTTGTGAAAATATTAGTGCCAATAGTCGAAAAGTAGTTATTGCAGTAATTGGCCATTTCATTATCATTTTTAAATTCCTCATTATGTTGGTTAAAAATCTGTAAATTGGTATTATTTTTTTTATGATTTTCATTAGTTGCTTCAGAGATTAATTGATAAGTTTTTTCAGATCATTTTTGTTTTAGTTTATTTTATTGTTATAATAGTCATTTTTAGTTTTTGATATTAGTTTGTTTAAATTATTTCTAAATGTTTTATAGTGAGTTTGTTTGTTAATAGTATAGTTTTTTTGTAGATCTTTTTTAAGTTTATCCCTAGTTTTAATAGAATTAATTAAACCATTTGTTATCCATGGCTTTATTTTTTTATGGATTTTAATTTTAATATTTTTAGTGGTTTGACATGTTTCAATGGTATTAAGATATGTGTTATAAAAAAGTTGTGTTGCAATTTCTGGATTATTTTTATTTCAAACACTTTCCCAATTTAGAATTTCGAATTATTGTTTTAATTTATCAGTATCGATTTTAGTTATAGTTTTATATGTATTGTAGGAACTTGTGTAGTTTTTGGCAGATTGTGAGATATTTATCATAATAGGATCATGATCAGTCATATCATAGCTGATTACATAAGAGTTCACCGATAGATTTTCAGTCTTAATATTGTTTTTTAAGAAAATATGATCCAAGCATGTTTTACTTTGTGGCCTCGTAATAGTCTTTATGTAAGACATGACACCATGGGAGTAAAAAGTTGCTTGGTAATCAGTAGTTACTTAATTGGTTACATTAAAGAGAACAATATTAATGTCCCCTATGAAAATTTTAATATTTCTATTTAGGTGAGTTGGTATGAAATTTTTTAAATCCCTTATAAATGCTTGTGCACGGGTTTGAGGAGACCTGTATAATACACCTGTAATGCCAATGGTCCGATGATTGACTTTTAGATTTATTTTAGTGACAAAAATATCAGAATATTCCAGTTTAACTATATTTAATTCTGCATTTAGATTTGACCTGACCAAAATTACAACACCATCATTTCTGTTAATGTTACCATAGTGGGTGGTGAAGCCATCTAGGTTAAATTGAGAAATAGATTCTAATTAGAAACATTCAGTCAAAACTATTATATCACAATAATTAATTTTATAGCTTTCTAGAAATACTAACAACTCATCTAAGTGTCTGGCTGAATGGCAATGTGCCTATGCCAAAAAAAAAAAAAAAAAAAAAAAAACAACTCATCAAAATTCTTTTTAATACTCCTTATATTGAAATGTAAGACACTTAGGAGTTTTTCATTTAAATTTAAATAGAATTTAATAGATTATTTTCTTGATTAATAATTAATTAATAATTTGAATGTGTGTACAAATATATTATTGATCTGTATACTTGATTTTATTTTGCAATACCATTTGATGATATTTCAAAGAGGGACAAGTCAAATCCAGTGCAGAATGGTTGTAGTCGTTCTCAGTTTTATATTTTTCATTAAAAGTTTTACAGTTCTTAGAGTGTATTTTATTCTTTATGTTCTTCACTACAGATGTGGCACACGATTGCATTCTTACAGTTTTCTTTTTTATGGTAGAAACCTTGACATTTAAAATATCTCCAAATCTTCATAAACCGTAAGTCTTTTCCATCCTATACATATTTTTTTCCTTTGTATCAATTGTTTGAATGCAGTTCCTGAATATTCACAGTATACAATATTGAAGCCTTTTTTCGTTTTTCTGATATATGTGGTTTTTATTTCACCTGTTATGTTATTCTGTTTCACAATGGACTTGTCAATTTCTTCCTTGGTCATATCCTGCGTAAAATTGCAGATTTTCATTCTGGGTCTTCTCATTTTCGTCAGATCTACATCATATGAATCTTTTAATTTATCTAGAACAGCTTCTTCCAGAATTTCAGCTTCTTTTTTTGTTTAACAGGAAAGTATAACGAAACCATTCTTTCCCATCTTTAATTGTTTCACTCCAACTTTTAAGTCAGTTAGTTTAATATTTGTTCCTAAATCTGTTTTTGTTTTGTTTCCACTCTGTGGTATTTTCGATTTAATAATAATTTTTGGAGGTTTAGGTTTTCGTTAATTGTCTTCTTTTTGTAACTTCACCATATCAGCACAAGAAATGGTAGGTACAATATTTATCACTTTTTCTTCAAATTCTTTAATTTTCTCTTGAAGCATTTTTATTGTTTCATTTTTAATATTTATTATTTCATCTTTACTTATTATTTCATTATTTCATGTAGAGCATGGATATTTTTGTTCTTTTGTAGACTAATGAATAATCTCACACTGTGAGCATTTCATTGTCATTTTTCTTATTAAATCATTTTCTTATTTTATAAACTAAATATGAGTACGCCACTGGATATTCTATTTGTATGATTGCTTAGTAGAAAGTATTGGTGTTTATTTTATTTCACCTAAACTTTTTTGTCATCTGATAAGGTTTGATACTTTTCTGCGTTTTTTGTTGCCTTGGTAGATTTTATTTCGGTGAAATTGCAGAGATAATCCATTAATCTATTATATTATTTATTATTATTATATAATTCACTAAATGTTTTTTTATCATTATATAGTTTATATCGGTAGAAATATAGATTTATTTGCGCAATGAAACGAACACATATGAATGACTTGACTGTACAATACTTAGTAAATACTTTACTTAGTAAATACTTAGTAAATACTTAGTAAATACTTAGTAAATACTTAGTAAATACTTAGTAAATACTTAGTAAGTACTTAGTAAATACTTAGTAAATACTTAGTAAATACTTAGTAAATACTTAGTAAATACTTAGTAAATACTTAGTAAATACTTAGTAAATACTTAGTAAATACTTAGTAAATACTTAGTAAATACTTAGTAAATACTTAGTAAATACTTAGTAAATACTTAGTAAATACTTAGTAAATACTTAGTAAATACTTAGTAAATACTTAGTAAATACTTAGTAAATACTTAGTAAATACTTAAATACTTAGTAAATACTTAGTAAATACTTAGTAAATACTTAGTAAATACTTAGTAAATACTTAGTAAATACTTAGTAAATACTTAGTAAATACTTAGTAAATAAATACTTAGTAAATACTTAGTAAATACTTAGTAAATACTTAGTAAATACTTAGTAAATACTTAGTAAATACTTAGTAAATACTTAGTAAATACTTAGTAAATACTTAGTAAATACTTAGTAAATACTTAGTAAATACTTAGTAAATACTTAGTAAATACTTAGTAAATACTTAGTAAATACTTAGTAAATACTTACTTAGTAAATACTTAGTAAATACTTAGTAAATACTTAGTAAATACTTAGTAAATACTTAGTAAATACTTGGTAAATACTTAGTAAATACTTAGTAAATACTTAGTAAATACTTAGTAAATACTTAGTAAATACTTAGTAAATACTTAGTAAATACTTAGTAAATACTTAGTAAATACTTAGTAAATACTTAGTAAATACTTAGTAAATACTTAGTAAATACTTAGTAAACACTTAGTAAATACTTAGTAAATACTTAGTAAATACTTAGTAAATACTTAGTAAATACTTAGTAAATACTTAGTAAATACTTAGTAAATACTTAGTAAATACTTAGTAAATACTTAAATACTTAGTAAATACTTAGTAAATACTTAGTAAATACTTAGTACAATACTTAGTACAATACTTAGTACAATACTTAGTATAATACTTATGATAATTGCACAATACTTAGTACAATACTTGGTACTATACTTATAGTTATTTAAGTTATTGCTTCTTAAGAACTATTTGAATTAAATATTTCAGTACTTGTATATATTTGGTATTAGTACAGGGTGAGCGAAACTCGATGTCTCAGCTCCATTATGGGACAAGGGAAAAAGATAGGAAAAAGTTGAAAAGAGGATCTTAAATGGGATAGAGTAAGGTCCGTTTTAAGCCCAATTTGCATATTTGTCCATATTTGGAAACTGAGGTAATGACGTCATCGATTTTTTTTTTCGGAAACATACCTATATTTTTACAAATTTAAAAAGAGCTAATTTTTCTGAACAAATTTTATAAAGAAAAAAATTTGATATCTCCTTCACTTTAAAAATTATAAGCAAATTTGTAAAAAAGAAACAAATAATATATTACTTACAAGAGAAAGAAACAAAGCTTGTATGCATAGTCATTCACTAAAACAAATTTTCAATGTGACCACCTCCTACTTCTAAACACTTATCCAATCTCCGTCTTACTTCTCTTACCGAAGCCTTACGTAACATTTCTCTAGATAATTCATCGCAAGCAATTCTGATTTTGTCTTTTAAATGTTCCATGTTAACTGATGGTGTTCTGTAAACTTTATTTTTCAAAATTCCCCACAAAAAGAAATCTAGTGGGGTCAAGTCCGGTGATTTAGGCGCCCACTGTATCGGTTCATTTATACCTATCCAATGTTCTCCACAAGTTTCATTCAAATATCGTTGGACAATTCTTGCTTTATGCGTTGGAGCTCCATCATGCTGGAAACACATATTTGCTCGAAGCGGTAATGGCAAATTTTCGAGAAGCACATGCAATTGTTCTTGAAGAAATTGCAAGTATCGCTCACTACATAAAATTCCTTCGTAAAAATATGGACCAATCAAATGCCCATTAATAACACCACACCAAACGTTAATTCCGAAATGCCCTTGGTTTTCAATCGGATTGACAAAATGTGGATCCTCAGTAGCCCAATAATGTTCATTTTTTTTATTGGGCTTACCATTACTAACAAAACGGCTTTCGTCCGTCCATAAAACATGCTGAAAAAATCGATTTTCATACTCTAACGTTTCCATCACTTGGGCAATATAATTCAATCTTCGTTGTTGATGTTGATCTGATAAGTATTCTAAGTTGTGAAGTTTATAATCGTGGTAACCATTTTCCTTCAAAATTTTTCGTACCGAACTATATATTAAATTCAACTCACGACAGGCTTGCCGAATCGAATTTCTTGGATGGGTTTCAAAATACTGCAAAACAGTGGCAAAAGTATTATCAGAATTGACTCTTTTAGCAATTTTTTTTCCCATTCGAGAAGAAAATGCCTTGTTATTTGAACGTAAATTGCGTTCCAATCTTGCAAATATTTTTAAGCTTGGAATAACACGTTCGGGGTATCTTTGGGCGTATAACTGAACTGCTTTTCTAGGGTTCTTTTGAGATTCCCCATAAACTAATAACATGTCGACTTTTTCATTGTGCGTGAACATTTTTCAAAGCCAAATAACAACATAACAATATTTGTCAACCATTAATTTAATTTGACAGATACGTCTTTGCTATTTGTTTCCAAAGGCGACTTGTTTAAATTGTGACTATTCTGAATTTTTGATTATACTTTTTTTTTTACAAATTTGCTTATAATTTTTAAAGTGAAGGAGATATCAAATTTTTTTCTTCATAAAATTTGTTCAGAAAAATTAGCTCTTTTTAAATTTGTAAAAATATAGGTATGTTTCCGAAAAAAAAAAAATCGACGACGTTATTACCTCAGTTTCCAAATATGGACAAATATGCAAATTTGGCTTAAAACGGACCTTACTCTATCCCATTTAAGAAGCTCTTTTCAACTTTTTCCTATCTTTTTCCCTTGTCCCATAATGGAGCTGAGACATCGAGTTTCACTCACCCTGTACTTGTACTTAATTTTACATTAAATTGGTACTCAATATTTGAGTACTTTTATTGATACTTGCCCAGCTCTGGGTGCCATAGTAAAGATTCGGAGAATAGTGTATGAATCTAAAGACCACTAAGAAACAACTGTCAAGAAAGAAGCAACAGAAGAGAGACAAATAAGAAAATGCAACAAAATATGTTTCAACAATTAAATTATATATAGTTACTAACTTACTTTCAAATTCGTAATAGTTGGGCATATTATATTGTAGGTATTCTCTAACAATTCTGTGAGCACATTGGTCTTCATCCAATCGCAAAACTGATTTCAAGAATTCCACCATTTCTTCTTTAGTTTCGTGCCACATGGTACCGCAAGCATATATTTTTGTAACTTTATCCTTGTCCATATTTAGATCTTCGGGATCTGAAAATTAATTTACTTTAACCCAGTAAATATTTTTTTTTGATATTTAAGTTTTTGTGCAATTAAAAAATTAATAAAAAATCAAGCTGTATGAACTTAAATAAATTTGATTCTTAATTAATAAAATCACAAAACCCGAAGTAAGAATAAGATAAAACATAACAAGAAGGACATAATAATGTGTCAGGGATTACAACATAGGAAGCATGTTCAATGTAAGGAACAAAAAATAATTTTTGAACAGCACATTCAGAAAATTTGATATTAAGCATTGTTCTCGAATATTATTTATTATGTTCCGAGATCAGAAATAAAATAAATAAAATAACGATTTACACAGCCATTTAATTAATGTTTACAACAGTTTTATTTATAGTTTAGGATTCTAGTAAAATGAATTCCAGATAAATCAAATAGGTACTATTTTTGATTATTGATTCCAACAAGTATTCTATTTAGGTACTTACCATGCGCGTCTACCAGTTTAATAAAACTAAGTTGTTCTCTCCTTCTATTCATTGCAACTGATTGATCAATCAAAAATGCATCATACATTGGTTTAAAAAATAACTTTTCAGTGGACATGAGTTTATCATGGTCGTTGGCCCAAATGTGTATGGTTATCCAACTTTGCGATAGTAACCAAACCAGCCATATCCAAGCATGTTGATGTCCAACAAAATCTTCCAAATACGTCAAAGGCGGAGTTTCCCAAAAGAGATACATAGGAATTGAGTCTGCATAAGCACACTCGCTCTCATTGTACATTCCACAAATTGATACTAGTGCCGTAAGTAAAACAGGTACTGTTAGAGTTATTGGCAGTGCTAAACTGAGAGATTGGATCATAATTTTGCACGCGAATTTCGAAAACGCGTAACACATATACGTGGTACCAATGTTCAATAGGAACACTAGTAAGGGAGTCCAAAACGAGGTTTCCATAGTAATTGAAGTTATAGATGATACAGCATCAGTATAGTTAACATGAGATGTACCCACTATTGGTTCAATCTGGAAAATATAAGTTAGAAATCATTTTAGATATCACAAAACTTATGCTAATACAATAAATACTAAATAATAAAATAAGTTGATAGTCTAAGATATTCGCTGTCAATGAAAACCCTAGTGCATCAGTAAGAACTGTATAACGGAAAATTGATTTGTCAAAATCAACGGTACAGAGAGCATTAAATAAGAATAAGTACCATCCATACAAACCCACAATAGTTCAAGGACTGAGAAACTGATTTTACAAGACGCATGCGCTTTTGGTTAAAAAATGCTTTATTTACAAGAATTAAAACAGATTTAATTAAAGTTGATAGCGTCAAATGTACTTAAAAAAATTAATACCTATTTGATTTGTTCACACATACCTACATGCATTATTTGGAAACCGCGTTTTTGTATACAGTGATCTTCAAAATATGTTAATCAATCAGTATCTCCCACTCGACATTCTGTACCATAATAATAAGTACTATTGAGGTAAAAATAAAAATTACGAATATAACCATCATTTTATCGATTCTAATTCTTTTAGTATGTTACGTCTTAATTATCGCTTGTCGTATTATAAGTATTATAATAACATTAATTTTACCTGTGTGACATTGTAGCTGTGATCATTAAACGCGTCCCAAAATCTGTCAAACATAAATGTTACGTCGCCTTCTCTGGTCCATGTAATAACTAACACAGTGACAAAGAAAATCAGACATTTTATAGGTGTTATTATAGCATACATAAAATAAAAGTCATTTTTGAATTCCTTTTTATCTTTGGCCAATTTACCAATCCATGGAAAAATAGATTTTTCTGAAGCGAAATTCTCCCACCAACCAATTGATATTAAACACAGGGACACAGGAATGACATAGAGAATCGGTTTTTGTTCTACAATAGGCCAGGCTAAGAGAGCTGTAACCTGCATAGCTATGGCAGCTATGTCCAATGTTAAACTTAGAGTGTGGCGAACTTTTGAAGGTTTTCTTGAGATAAATGCTGAAAAAAAAAATTATATGCTGTTGCAAAAATATAAAATTAATAAATGTGTAACTATATTAATTAAAGAATATGGCGGGTAGGCAATGTGTATTTGATTTGCTCTGTTCTGTGTCATTTCAATAGTAGTTTGATTTACCATCATATTAGTTCTGAAATTATTCAACCATGTTTTTCTTGTCCTTCCTCTCCTAGTCAAAACACTAAAGAACGATTTTTTAGTGGTGAATGCCTAACCTCTATCGTCTCCCAGTCAACTATTTTACACCAATATGCGCAACACCAGCACTGTTCCTTAATATGTTCATATCAATTTTGTACCAAATATCCTCATTTTAGCAACGTAAATATTATGTTCCTTTTTCTTTACTGCCCAACACACCAATTCATATATCAAGACTGGTCTAACAGCTGTCTTATAGAACTTTTTCTTTAAATTTATTGATATGTTTACTTGGTCATTTACCATCATTCTTACTCTATTTACAACATCCTCATTAATTTACTTCAACTTTTGGCATTTTGCCACAGCTTTGTACTTTCATTTCTCAAATTAGCAAATAATTTTCATTTTCCATCTGTTATTATTTCTACTACTTCCTCTGCCATCGCCTACAACATTCTACATTTGTCGAGCATGAGATTTTACAGAGGTACCAGAAGATTTATTAACTAACTTAAGCTTTAAGTTAACTTCTGCATTATCTTTCAACTTTCTTTTCAATTTCTTCCTCTACATTCCTAACTTGCTGCTTGCAGCTGTCCCTAAGACCAATAATTAATGCTGATTGGTCGCAGTATCTCTTAGTATGTCCAAGCAATCTTTAGATTCATTGAAATCACTCCTTAACATGAACGCTTTTATTTGAGAGCAGCTCATTTCGGTTTTGTAGTTTGTTATATGATGAAAATAACTGCTAGGTGCCGCCATATCTAAGCAACTTCAAATTATAAAAATTCTGGTAATAATGGATATATTTCTTATCCCTGTAGTCTTTCTTTCTTATGTTTTGAGAAAAGTCCGCTATTTTCCTTTTTAAATCTTTTACTGACATTTTGTTTTGTTTTAATCTAAGAATAATAATAATCAAAATTATAATTATATACTAATAACCTAAAGTATTAAATTGTAACGTCTTTAAAAAAAAAGAACGGCAGATTGAGCTCATGGTCCCATGCGCGCCATTTCTTCACCCTGCTAGAATATTCTCAGGATTCTTCCAGTTCTAGCTTAAATGTTTTTAAGACCGGGCTTCGATAGTTTCCATTAGCTGTCTTTAAATCAACCATTCTTCCGTCAGGTCCGGGATGAGTAGCTGTAACTCTAGCTAGTTTTCATTTATATCTGGGTTCTTAGTCATCAACTAATTTTACTATATTATTTGCCGCTATGGGCTTGTGATCAGATGTCCATTTGTTTCTTTCAGTGAGAGAAAACAGATACTCTTTTGTCCATCTTTTCCAAAAGGAATTAGCAAGCATTCCAGATTTCTTCCATTTTGCGTCAGGATTGATGGGAAGAAGTGTCAAAGTTTGGCGTCCCAAACAAAAAATGATTAGGAGTTAATGGTTCAGGGTTAAGGGCATCGGAAGAAAGCCTTGCATGTAACCTCGAATTGAGGATCATAATAAAACTCTCCCTAATTCACCTATTTATTATTATTATTATTATTTGCCCTGACGCTCCGGGGCGACTTAAAAATGATTGATGGTGCCATTTGACTTACAGGTGAGGAAAACCCGGAAAACATCACCCACCATCATCGAGACGGTAACGCATGGCGATTTTATCGCTTCTGCTTCAGAAAACAAAGTCTGCAATGTTTCTACTTGCATACTTTGATATTGCAGTATTTTCTCTATTCTTCTCTTGACACTGCCTATTAATCTTCCCCATACACCTGCCATATGGGGAGCCAAAAGTGGAAGTCAATTCCTCTTGCAGACAACAAATCTTTTAACGCTGTTTGGTCGATATTGTCTTGAGCTTCTTTGATTTCCTTTGAAGCACAACGTAGGTTCGATCCATTATCACAGTAAATCATCCGTATGGCTTCTCTTCTCACTATTAAGGGTATGGGTAATTTCAAGATATTTGCACGGATGGATAGACATCTACATATTACTCCCTAGCGTGTTTCTTGTCTTGGGCTAATTTTGGAAAAGATGGGTCCGAAATAATCCACTTCTACGTTAGTGAATGGTTTAATTTCTAGCTTAAGTCGTACGTCTGGTAGTTGTCCCATTAGAGATGGCTATGGTCTTTTTCATCTTACACATTTGGAACCATCAGACTTTACAGCGGCTTTTCCATTCAATATTCAATATCTCAGTCGTAAATGGTTCAAGACTGTTTCGGTTCCAATTTGTCGCAGTTTTTCGTGGGTCCATCTTGTACTAGGTTTACTGTACGATTGCTGTGGATATAAAATTTTGTTTCTTTGTCGAGGTTTTCTGCTATATTTGTTCTTCCTTCCAAAACTAATATTCCATTTACCAATTGGGGACAAAAATTTCTGAGTCGACTATGCTTTTTCTTGCTGTAAATATCTAACTTCTTCACTAAAACATTGAAGATGACTTTCTTTTATCACAAATTTTCTGTTTTCTGAACCTCTTCGACTGAAAGTTCCTTCGTTCCCTAATTTTTGAAATAAATCTTTGGTACCATGCTGTCTTAACCAGTTAGAGAACCTCGATTTATTTGGAAGATAATTTCCTTTCTCAAGAACTGTTAGGCATGAATTAACCTTTTCTTTACATTCAAGATCATCTTCCTGCGTCTTTGGCATTCCACGATCTTCGTCAGGCCAAAAACTTCTACATCTCTAAGGATTTCAGGTCCTTGGAATCAACCATCTGAAATTAACTTGTTGGCATGACATTTTGATCTGGTAGCTTTATCAGCAGGATTCTGCCCAGTAGGTACCCACCTCTAGTCTTCAACATTTGACCTCTACGGAATTTCGCCAATTCGGTGAAAAACAAATTGTTTGTAATTATTATTATTATTATTATTATCATTATAATTTGATAAGAGCAGGGGCCATAAGACCCATAAGCCCATATTAACTGAATATAAAACAATATTAATAAAAACTAAATCAATAACAAGTACAACCGATGAATAAACAATGAAACAAATTAAATGTTAATTAAAAAATAGAAAATTATCAAGTTCGTTCTTGAAAACATTGACAGATGGAGCATTTACAACATTCTCCGGTAGAGAATTCCAAGTGTAGAATATTCGATTAAATAAAAAAAATTGCCTCGTTTTCGTAAAAAATTGTTCTTTTTTCAGCTTCTATTTATGGCCACGTAGTCGATTTTCACTGTCCTCGATGAACGTACATTTTAAATTTCCAAAATTATATTTTAAAATACGAAATCATATCACCCAGCAGACGGCGATTTTCAAACGTTTGTAGTTCAGCCATATGTAGTCTCTCTGCGTAATTAGGTCTCATACGTCCGAAAAATAGTCTGGTTGATTGGCGGCACATTTTCAAGAATATTTTTATCCCGCACTAGTTCCGGACACCACACAGCTCCGCAGTACTCGATGATCGGACGAATGTATAATTTATACAGTCGGATCGAATTTTGAAAAGACCCTTTTGCGAATGTTTTCTTTAATAAGTACATTTTCATGTTCGCCTTTTTTGACACTTGAAGAACCTGCTCAGACCAGCTGAGATTTTCAGTAATTATAACACCTAGATCATTGTAAAATTTAACTTTATTTAATGTATGACCGTTTAGAAAATAATTATGACGAGGATTATTTTTACCAATATGGAGAACTACACTTTTATTTGTATTTAGAGATAGCATCCAATCTGAGCACCAATTATAGATGCATCTTGAAGCTGTTGGAAGTTCAAAGACGGGGCACTAAATATTTTAGTGGCATCTGCGTAAAAAATATTGTTGCCTTTGATATGGCATATATTATAAATAAGAGTGGACCCAGAACTGATCCCTGAGGAACCCCACTCAAGACTGGTCTTTCAAGTGAATGCGAATTTCCAACTTTAACACAGTACTTTCTATCAGTTAAGAATGACTTGATCCATTTAAGTAAATCACCACGTATACCAAGGTGTTCTAACTTATGTAGTAATCTTCGTTTCGGCATATGATCAAAAGCTTTCGCAAAATCCAGGTAATGTCTATAGGTTTTTTCCTGTCTAACGAAACTGTCCACTCATTTACACACCAAAGCAAATTGGTCATGGTTGATCGCCCTTTTACAAATCCATGTTGCTGTTTGGGAATGAGTTCTTCCATTAAGAGAAACTGAGAAACGTGCTCTGTTATTATGGATTCCATAACTTTACAGATTATGGATGTGAGGCTGATTGGGCGGTAGTTATTAGAGTTTAGTTTGTTTCCTTTCTTGAAAATGGTTGTTACAGAAGCTGTTTTCCAGATAGAGGGTAATGTGCGCGTATTAAAAGACAAAGACATAATAGATAAAGGAACTGATATGGTATTAGAGCATTTTTTTAAAAATAGAGAAGATATTTGACCTAGACCCGGAGAGGAGTTGTTTTTTAATTTTAAATGGTGACGTTTGACAATTTTAGGAGTAAAATTGAGCCGTTCTAAGGAAGAGAGGATTCTTTCGGGTGAGATATCTGGTAACTGATCCTGGGGAGGTTCATTGGTGAAAACTTTTGTAAAGGTATTAGCTAACAGTTCAGCCGTTTCGAAATTATTCCATCTTCCATCTTCTTTGTTTAGTAAAGGAATGGATACTTTTGATGACAGTGAAGATCTAATATATTTGTATAATTTTTTACAGTTTTGGCTGCATGCTATCGACTCTTCATATTCTTCTCGTGCCTCATTTATAAATTTCTTTAGGTCCTTGGAAAAATTTTTGTGATATTCTAGATCGACAATATTATTTGATCGCTTATATTTACGCCATAATTTACTTATTACTGTCTAATCAAGGATATTAGTTCTCCGTGTCCCAACATATTCCCAGCATTCACTAAACTGTCTTTTTGTTACCAATGTATTTTGAAGCGGCAGAGATCTCTGAAATAATTGACGAATTTCCCATCCAGTTCACTACATCAAAACATGCATGTTTCATGGCGCTGCAGATGTCTGTAATAGTTGCTGTATAATCCAAATAATTATCAACATAACATTTCTTTCTGTCAAAACTACATACTAACTAATAACCTAAAGTATTAAATGATAACGTTTCTTTAAAAAAAGAACGGCAGGTAAATTCATGGTTTCATATGTGACAATCTCCTAGTCCAAATCCTACATGCACTCCTTCTGCGAAGCTTTAGCCTTCTCAATATGATCATCCTCTGGAATTATCATCTTATTTGCATCTAATAATCTTTATTATCCTCTTTTCAAACACCATTGTATGATACTTTCCAAAGTTTGTAGCCTTTGCCTTTGAACCATCCATCTCGCCATCTGAGTCCTTCATCGTTAAAGTATCTCTGTCAACTCTTGGGCTTTTCCCGTCAGATTAACTAGGTTTCATTATGTTATATCTTGATAGATCTCAATATACAGCTTAATATTTTTCGATTAAACAAACTATAATTTAGTAAAAAGGAATGTAATGTAAAACTTACCTACAACTCCAGGTACTAAACAGATTCCATTCGTCAACATTGCTGCTTTAATTACATCAAGTTCAGGAAATACGATAAATACTAACAAACAACTTCCGATCGTCGGTAAAATTTCCGTCAAAGCTAATATTATGAACTCGAATGTTGTAGGATATTTCCACGATTTAAAACAAACAATTCTGAGAGACCTGAACAAAGTTCCCATTTCTGGTACTAAATATGAAAAAATTATCAACCATATCCATACTGTCCGTTCTTCTACAGGGTGGTTCACTATGTATTGTTGCCGATTATCTGAAATTATAAATTAGTTGAATGCCTAAAATATACTGGTCTGAAACAAACAAAAACATATTCTTCATGAAAAAGCATCATCAGTTTTCTACTAAAGAGTTAATATTGATAATGAATCAACTTTTTAACAGGTTCCTGTCTGGGTTTAGGGAGAAAAGCTTAGAAAAAAACAACAGGATGTAAGGGTCTGTTCCAAGCATGAGCGACCCCACACGAGAGCAATAGGGAGGCGCCTAAACCATCCTGGGTTTGTATTTTTTGCCATGGCTTTCGACTGTAGCTTACTTTGTTCTGATTCTGCCTATAAGGTTTTCAAGCCTGTGAAAATTTTTTGAACAGCAGTCATGATTCCAAGGCGGAAAATACGAATAAGTGTAAAAAACGAAAAACATTTTTATGAACTTATGTGTTTATTGAAAATTGTTCATAGTTAGATAAGATTAGTTTTTTAAGGAATTGGACATTACTTGTCCTTGTTCAACGCGACCTCTTCTAATGTTTTGGGTAAGGCCGTTATGTAGGGTGTGTCGTCTAGCTTTGTCTTTTTTATTAGACTTAGTAGCTTTGACAGTGGTATATGCATAGTAACATGCTTCGGGCTTTTCTTTTCATAGTAGTGGTAAACCTCAATATAGCCAGACATTCAGAGAACGTGCACAACGTTGTTTCTTCTGCTCATGTGCCTATTTAGCCGACAGTACCCGGTAAGGAGACTTACTGTTATTCTAACGATTTTTCGTTTTTAATCCAGTAGTTCTTTCGTGAACTTAGTCCTTAATAAACTTTTTGTTCTGTCTCAATCCTGGATAGATGATCCATCATTTCTAAGACTATCTTGTATCCATTGTTTCATGGATGCCTTGTACAATGCCTTAGCAACTTTACAGAAGGGTTTGAGGCTTGTCATTGCCTTATTTGAGTCTTCTAGGGTTAATCCGTCGACCTATATGCCTCCTGAAAGTACTAGGAAAACTAACAGAACAGATTGTTCTGGGAAGACTATAGATAGAAATAGTGAGAAATGGAGACTTGAATGATCTTCAGGACAGGAAGATACAAGATTGACGCCATCAAGAAGGTCCAACCGGACACCACATAGTATAAAGAAATTCTGAGCTCTAATAACACTAGATGTACAGAACGCATTTAAAAAGCCACATGTGGAATATTCGCCGAACTGAGGAGCAGAGACTTTGCGCCTTATACAGGGTGGTCCATATTTGTGGAATATATTAATTATTGGCTTTATTATTAAGTTTTGAAAAAATCCCACCTTGTGGAACCTCTACTACGACTGCGTGTTAAAGCTACTAATACCAAAGGGCGTGCAGACGACCTGGGAGTAGTGGTGATTGACGAGGATATAAGAAACTTAGATAGGAAGACCAACCAAGCGATTGGTAACATCACCAAGTGGCTGAGTAGTAGAAGAGGCTAGTCGGATGAGGTGACTGTTGGAGATACTAAGATATCTAGTCAAGAATTTGTTAAATACCTTGGAATATATATCAACCACAACATGATCATGAGTCTCCATGTTTAAATTACCGCTGAAAAAGCAACCAAAGCTTTCTCACACATCTGTAGGCTAATGCCCAACATAGGAGGGCCTAGAGAAAACAATAGACACATTCTAGAGAACGTGATTCAATCCATTATATTATATGGAACAAGTACCTTGAAGAGAGATCTAACCTAGCCAATCTCCTGAATGTACAAAAAAAAGTAGCCATCAGACTAACAAGATGTCAAGTTGCTTGGCTTCACTTCCTCGCCAAAATTAGATTCTCACTACACCGAAAAATACCTCACCATGTTGAAATTTGTTCTTTCAAGTTAAATTACTCAATGCCAAGAAGGCTGTGATAAATTTTCTTGTGTAATAGTGCTTTAAGAAGTTTACAAGTGTATTTAGTACTGTTATTAAAGGTGTATTGCGGAATTCAAGATTAAAAGAAGTTTAATGATGCCGGTGATTTTATTTCGCAACCACTTAATAAAGAACCAGTGCAGACTTTCATGTTTTCCTTCAGTCCAAGAATTTTTTTACAAATGTAAGTGAAAAACACATCTATCTCATATTTAAAAAGTATCCGAAACAACAATATGAAATGATAAACGACTTCTAGTTCCTAATTTCAGATGATTAATTACTCTAAGCATTGGAAGCTGATGATTTTGATCTACCTAAGTATTTGTTGCAATATAATCTTGTGATATTTGGTCTTATTTGCGAAGTCATAAAAAGTAGGGATCCTTTTGAAATCACAGCGGTTAGTAATACCACAAGAAAGGTAACGATTATTGTGGTAATTTTTAAAAATTTTATGGATCCATCGATATATTTGGACTGTTCCAAAGACCCTGAAACTGTTTCTCTGGGCGTGTTTTTGAATAAGTTCCAGTTGTATTTCTCTTCGTACCTGAAAAAAAAAAATGATTTAAGAAAAATTATAATAATAATATCTAATATAATAGTTTCACATAATGTTTAAATTTTCAACGTTCAAAAATCTTGTCGCGCGAAACGTTGCATTTATTTGCTTTATAAATTAAAACGTGATGTAATAAGTGGCTCCAGTTTAATATAGTGGCGTACTTAGTATTTATTTACGGTTATAAATATTTATTTTCAGTGTATAGTTGATTTGAAGAGTAAATTCTTTTTAAATGAGTTGAGATAATCAGCCTAAAAACTAGTAAACCATACATAGACATTTAAGATGAAGGGAAATTAAAGAACAGAGTATTTTGTATCTAATATATTTAATAATTTTTCAGATTTTATCGCAAAAAATTTCTGGGCATTTACTTGTTCTTAATATTTAAATCAACTTATAGATAATAATGATTAATTATGTTATTATAATTATCTTACATTTCATTGTCAATGAGAGGTTCCTCCTCGTAACGATCCCTTGTCATCGTTCTGATTTAGCTGAGATTGTATCCTTCATCACCTAAAATATTTTAAATTAGTATTAGACTTTTATGTAATTTAAAGTAAAGCGAAGTCAGACTAAAATTTTATGTTGCCTCAGAGTTGAAACTGCACCAGCTTCTAAAGCAGAGGTTCCCAACCTTTTCTGGACCACCCCCTTAAGAAGCAAAAAAAATTCCAACGCCCCTACGAAACATAAAATATGTGAAAAAGTTGTGACAAAAAATTTACTTTTTTATAGAAATCTAAATAAAAAACAAGTGGTATTTTTTTTGTATAACCTATTCAAATATTGTTGCATATAATTGGTACCTTATTTATCTGCTTATTTATCTATTAAAAATCTTAAAGTAGAAATTAATAAAATTGTTTATTAAAGTTTTAAAAACAAACACAAAATCAATAAGAAATAAAAAATGATATAAACACAAAATTAATAGTAAATAAAAAATATATGTGCTCTTTAAAATAAAACGAAAACCTGTCAATTTCGGTTTTGCCCAAATATCTCGAAACCAAGGATTGATATTTTCTTCATTATGAATTTCAGACTTTTCCTAACCATATATTATAATCGAATATGTTACATGATTGAATAAGGTTTGAATAATGTTATGATTTATTAATATGGAGCCTAAGTAATCACAGCATTTTAAAAATGATTTTCTCAGAAAAATGACGATTAAATTATTTAATCCCATCCACAAATGCAAACGTGATGCAAAATGCAAATATTAATTTGTTTTTTCTGCTGTAATCTTTAATAAATCTTATCAAATTAAAAGTAATTCTGGAGCCTATACTTATTTCTCGAAAATATATTCAATTTGTTTGATTAGAGATAAATATTAATAAATAAAAGCCTATTTCCGTTTCATTATTTTTATTTATTATCGTGATCTCATATATGTATTGTCTTTTTTACGATTTCTTATCAAAGTTGATATTTTTTGTAGATAGGTAGGTATTTAACTCTCGAATTGTATCTACACAGATTGCAAAACTAGTTGAGGGATAACATGGAGTTATTAGAAAATAAAAACAATAAATTTCAAGTATTGAAATTTATTAAAATTTTACATAAATTACTCTATACAATATTAGCCATTACTGCCAGTTGAATACTCTTTTTCTACATCTGGTTCACAGCTTCGCCAGCTGGAACGCGCCAGGTCTGCTTCGCGTATGGCCTTTATGTGAATTAAACCAAATTACTTCTTTTTACAGCTTCAATTAATGACAAACTCATAGATTTATTAGTATTTGAAGCAATCATTCTAAAACAGTGATAGTATAGTAACAAGACAAAGAACAAGGTTAAAAATTATAAACATTCAGATTGCACCTGACATATGTCCTTAATAAAGACAATAGAAAAAGAGAAATATATCACAGAAAAAAAATGATAGCAAGAATTTCTAATCGCTCTTGACTCATTCTAGATCGTAAGTAACTAATATTTGATTATCTTTAGTTAGGTTAGGTTGTCTCTTTTAGAGACATTAGAAATTATTTCAATACCACGAAATGAAGCAAGATACTGGATGTCTTGAACGACCTAGGGATAGGCAGTACTTGATGAATCTCATAGCAAATTATTTTCAAAACAGATCGCTTATAATAGGTAAGAAAAATACAACAGGGAGTTTTCCTGTGCTTCAGTCTTGGTCCAATCGTATAGAATTTTCTTTACAATGGGGCCAATGGGGCTAATTCTACCGGATCTTCTACTAGTACGCAGCGATGAAAAAAAAGGAACTGATGGGCGAGGCGGAGGTGAGGAGGCTGTAGCAGCCATCTTCCACTGGCTTGGCTTGCTTGGATCGCTTCCCATAAAACAGAATCCTTAGGAAACAAATAGACCGATTCCCACTTTCGTAGGAAAATTATTTTTTATTTTACACTATCTTTTTAAGTTTCTTGACTTTTGAATTTGGCATCTACTTCCAAGCAAGATGCTAATTCTTTGGCATCTACAAGAATATCGTTGTTTTTATGTTTTAAAAAGAATTCAGTTTATTTAAAACTCACAAGCTTCAGAAATATTTAAATTCTTTGCAAAATGTAATTCATTTATTTGTAATAGAATTTTGATTCAGTAGGTAAAGTTCAATGTAAATATGTTATTTCTAGTATCAAGTTAAGATTTTCGTAAAGCTGTTACGTCGTATCTTTGTCATTTAAATTATAACATTTGGAATTACACTTCCCCAATAAATTAACGCACCATCAAAAAATAACAAAAAGGTTAAAGTAAATATTTGTCAAAACCACTTGTCTGATTTGGACGATTCTTTTATATGGCCGGTTGTCTCTTCCACAACGTCGGTGTGCTAACTGTGTTTGCATAAAACCGTCTTTTTATTAATACAGGGTGTAGCAATTATAGCGTGATTTTTTCATAAAAGTTGGAACACCCTGTAGAGTGCAACAGTTACATTACCAAGTTCGCATTGAAAAAACAATTTAGCATTATCTTCTCTTAACAATTTCTTTTTTTATTTACTCCATTATGTTTCCTATTACACGAGAAACTCAATTTTATAACTTAACATGACTTTATTCATTTTCATTAGCATTATAAGCACTAAAGTAAGTAGCATGCTATGGAAAAACCAGTAATTGTCAAATACAGATGCGTATTGTCAGTGTTAGTCTATTCGTCATTTCATTCAAAAAAAATTATTAAACAATATGCCACGAAATCTTACTCGCGAAGAATGTGCTTATTATTGTTTGAAGAGGGTTGGAGTTAACGAAGAATTGGTGAACGATTTGACGTAACCCACACAACCGTTTCACGAGTTAAAATGTAGAAGAGACTGGAAATCATGGTCTTAGGCCGGGATAAGGAAGAAACCGAGTAACTACTCCGATTCAGGATCGATTTTTAAGACTGTCAGTATTAAGACGTTTTGTAACAGCTCGGACCCTTCAAACTCACTTTCGGGATGCTAATGGTTTAGAAGATTGCACAGAAACTGTTCGTCAGCGACTAAGGGAACATAATTTGAGGCCTAGAATAGCTGCTCGAGGTCCAGTTCTAACTAGAGTTCATCGCAGAGCATAGCTAAATTTTGCCAGAGAGCCTCGTAACTGGTTAGAGGCTGAATGGCAACAGGTAAGTATTATTTACTGATGAGTATCGATTTTGTCAGTATAACAATGACAGGCGTATGCGCGTATACCGACGCCCTAATAAACGGTATGCTAAGTGTAATTTTTCACATACAAAACATTTGGAGGAGGATCTCTGATGGTTTTGGGAGGCATTTTTTTTGACTGGTCGCACAGAACTTGTAATCCTAAATGGAAGCCTTACAGCTGACATGTACATATTGGAGATTTTAGACGAACATGTAGTTCCATTTGCACCATATATAGGGCAAGGATTTTTGTTGATGCAAGATAATGCCAGGACTCATCTTGCTCGAGTTGTGAGAAATTATCTAGAAGAAGTCGGTATCGCTACCATGGCATGGCCAGTTCGGAGCCCGGATTAAAATCCGATAGAAAATCTCTGGGATACTCTTGGGAGGAGATAAAGTAGATTTTTTTGAGTGCGTTTTATTCGTTTTGTTTATCTAAATTATATAGTTTTTTCACTTTTATAAATATATAAAGTAAGTAGATAACATGCATCAAATATACAATCATTTAGTTACCAATTAAATACCTTTATTTTTCATGCAACAAGATTTAGAAAAAAACTAAAAAAAGTAAAACTGTAAAAATGTATATGTCAGATTTATTAATGTTTTTGTTAAAAGTTTGGTTATAGAACTAAATGTCAGTGGAAGTAAAATGACATCACAGTAAACTAGCGTATTTAAGTCAGTAGGCCACTTACGGCGACTTTATGCATGTGAGTCATCGCTCATTAAAACCTTAAATATGATGAAATTTCAAACACATGTAACAATCACTATTTTTTTTACCAGAATTATTTGATTTGAACGGTATTTAAAACATTTTAGTTTTCTCGATTTTTCAATAATTTTTCACATTTTAATAATTCAACGGATTTCTATTGATTATATTGATTCTTGTCTTATATTTATTTCAGTTTTGCAGTAAAATAAGGTTTTTAAAAATGTATTCAAGAATTTTTTAAATATTATTTACTTTTTTGAATGATATTAACAGATTTTAAATGTTTTTGGATTTGTCAAATTTAATAAAATATCTACTTTTATCAAAGCAGAATAATTATACCATATGATAAATATGATTAGAGCTATGACTTTATTAGAAAATCACTAAAACTAAATCACATTCGGCCCCTTAACAGAAAACGCTTGGAAAAGTAAGTATGGCTTATCCCTATACAATTTTAAAAACATTTACCATAATTATTAAAAAACTACTTACAAGTTACTCAAAAAGTAAATTTATAATTTTTCCAGTCACTTTTAGGGAGGTTATAATGTTCACAAACTATTAATAACTATTTTCAATACGTTTTTAGACAAAACTGCGTCCTTTACAAAATTCTTTGTTTCCTTAAAATCTGTCTTATCAATTGATAAATTAGATAAGATTATAAAACACTTAAAACATAAATGATTAATTGTTTTCGACTTAAATTGAATTAACGACAAAAAAAAATATTGAAAATCACTGTCGATGATCAAATTAAAATTGTGTTGGCATTAATGTTACTCACTACCTGTACAAGGTACGAAGGTGATAGAGTGGGTGCTATGAACTAACATGGGGTAAAACACAATAAGCCAATAGGCTTCAGTGTTATTCGGAGACACATAGTCAGACGAGCCCAGGAGAAAAAAAAAATGTTATTCACTGTTACCGACTGTCACTTTTGGAACAGTACCTACTCTTAATTAGATTTTATAAAAAATATTCGTCTATCTGTATCTGTAACATGTAGAGGGTGGGTTATCCCCACGGCACTTAGGCCTCACTAGGCCCATTGTGCATCCTCCTAAGATAATGTTAATGCAAAATATGTCTGCTGGGGCTATCAAAGATCAGAAATGTAAGTGGCACTCCACGGGAAAACTTACATATTGGCCAAGCGATATAAACAAAATACCAGACCTTCTGAACTTTTTTATTTCCAGAAATACAGGGTGTCCATCTATAAATTGACACATTTTAACAACTTATAACTCGAAAACGGAAAAAGATATCGAGATGCAGTTTTCACTAGACCTTTTACATTTACTTCAAGTTTTTCTTGACATTGTTGTCACATGTAATTTTTTTTCTGGAAAGTGCCGAAAAAAAAACGAACTTTTTGAATCAAAATTGTGAGCTTATTTTAAATAAAACACCCTATAATTTTTAACATCCTCGGAAAGACCATTTCTTTCCCTCTCCAAAAATGTATTAATTGTAAGCATTTATTCAATTTTTTTTTGGGAAAAATTTAATTTTTTATGAAACCATGTCGATAACTTCTAAACGTAAAGTATCACAATTTAAAAGCCTTTAACTCGATAATGTAACAATTTATTGATAAGAGGTTTTGACTAAAATTCTGGGAAATGTTTAATTTTTTTATAAAATGGTTGTAAAGTCTCAAATGTCTAAAATTTTCGTAAAATATTACTTTTACCAATTCAGATTAAGGGCTTATGAAGAATAAAATTCTTCGTATTTGTAACGTTTATTTGCAAGCCTTTATCCATAAATCATCATTTAAAAGAATGTCTCAAGCGTTTTCAATATGTACCTAGATCTGTTTTTTTTTGTCTATTTAATATTCCTCTTTTTGTAAATTAACTTACTCAGCTTTGGATAGAATATGAATGAGTCAATAAATGATACTACTAATTTATCAAGGGTGCTATGTAAAACAAATCGAGTTGACAGAAGTCTATATTTGTATTAATTAGTGCAAGAGAAAGCAGGTATTAAAAAATGTTTATCAAAAGTGAAAAAGCCCGGTGCATTTTACTTTATATTGAAAGTAGATCAATTACACATACACAAAGAAGATTTAGAAATATGTTTGAAAAAAATTCGCCAACCAGAAATTCTATTTTAAACTGGGTAAGGGGTCTATTCTGTAATAATTCCTTTATATTTAACGGCCTTTAAAAATATTGGTGGCCTTAAATATATTTTCGTATTCGTTAATTTACTTCTGTCATTATTTAAACAGATTTCTTTAAGATAGTCATCTAATGTATTTTAAAGATCTGTTTAAATAATGACAGAAGTAAAGAAGAAAATATTTTTAAAGGCCGTTAAATATAAAGGAATTGTTACAGAATAGACCCATAAGTCAGTTTAAAGAAACGGGAACATTAGATAGAAAAAAAAGACAAATTGAAAACGCTTAAGATATTTTAAATGATGTTAAACAGATAAGGGAAATTTTAGCAAGAAACAATAATAAAATATCTATTAGAAAAATTGCCCAATCCATACATATGACAAAGAGTAAGGTGCATAAAATTTTAAAAGTAATCAAGTTTAAAGCATATAAGGTTCAGACTTTTCATAAAATTGAAAATCATGCATTTGAAAAGAGGGTTTTTATGTGTGAGACGTTATTAGATTTATTTAGATATCAAACCAAATGTAAATCTAATAATGTCAGATGAAGCAACGTTTCATTTAAGTGGACGCGTAAACAAACACAATTGTAGGATTTGGGGTGACGAAAACCCTAGAGCTTTCAACGAGTTTGAAAGAGATGCTCCCAAGGTAAATGTATGGTGTGGTGTGTCCAAAACCAACATTTATGGACCATTTTTCTTTCAAGAGGAAACAGTATATGGAAACAATTACACGGATATGCTAGAACTATTCTTTTATCTTCAACTAGAACAAGAAGAAATACTAAATACTGTATATTTTCAGCAAGATGGTGCTCCACCGCATTACTCTCTTGTAGCCAGGTCAGGCTGGTCCCATCGAATGGGCTCCATATTCTCCGGATTTAACTATACCAGATTTTTTATATGGGGGTATGTTAAGGAAAGATGCTACGATCCAACACCTACAAACTTAACTGAACTGAGGAATAATATAATTCATGTGTTTAATACAATTACCCCAGAAATGCTGCAAAATGCATTTATAAATTTTTTAATGCGTCTGCATACATGTATTGAACAAAATGGAGGCTATATTCAACAATTAATTTATTAATGTTTTAGTAGGTACATATTTTTTGTATTCAATAAAAATTCAGATAGGTACTAACATGGTGGGACACCACTTACGCCACAAAAATCCGTGTGGTATGAGGTGCTCCCCTCTGTTTTTATAAGTAAAATATCATTACTTGATATTATTCTGAAATTTATACCAATGAAAAACAGTATCTTATCAATGATCGTTCGATGTAAAACGTCAATTTATATTTCGATATGTGCCACCAAAATGTAATAGACACCGTTAACATTGATTTAATTACCTAAAATTAAAACCTATTAAAGCAATAAAAAAATTATAAAAAAATAAACTATCTAATGACTATGAGAGATACGAAATGTTTCATTCGCCATAATACCTTAATCTGAATTTAATTTTTTTTTACGAAAACTTTACAAGTTTAAGATTTGGCAACTATGTCAGAAAAAAATTTAAACATTTCCAAGAATTCTGGTGAAAACCTTTTATCAATACATTGCCTTACTCCCAAATTATAAGTTAATTAATTGTGATACTTTACGTTTGGAAGTTATTGACATGGTTGCATAAAAAAGTGAATGTTTCCCTGAAAATAAAGTAAATGCTTACAATGTATAAATTTTTGGAAAGGGGAAGAAATGGTCTTTCCGAGGATGTTAAAAATTATAGGGTGTTCTATTTAAAATAAGCTCACAATTTTGGTTCAAAAAAGTTCGTATTTTTTTTCGGCACTTTTCAGAACAAAATTACATGTGGCAACAATGTCAAGAAAGACTTGAAGTAAATGTAGAAGGTCTAGTGAAAACTGCATCTCGATATCTTTTTTAATTCTCGAGTTATAAGTTGTTAAAATGAGTCAATTTATAGATATTTTGCTGAATATCCGAATTCTTCTATATCCTGGGATAAAGACGGACATTTATAGATATATACATTGCAGAGAAATGGTTGCTCCATCATGACAACGCTCCATGTCACACTTCCCTCTCCATAACAGAATTTTTGACCTCAAAAGGCATTCCTGTGATTTTCCATTCACCTTATTCCTTCTTTTTTCCTAAACTGAAAAATGTCCTTAAAGGGCGTCATTTCGGGACTTTAGAAATCATCCAAAAGACTGTAACGGACATGCTGAAAACAATAACGGTTGAAGACCTCCAGCGCTGCTACGAACAGTGGGAACAACGTCTCCATCGGTGTACGGCTGCTTAAGGGAACTAGTTTGAAGGGGATAACATTGGTGTTTTAAAGAATAAAAACTTTTTAAAAGCAAAAAATTAGTCACATTACTTTTCTGCCACACCTCGTATATTGATTAATCTTGTAAGATTAGGTGCATTCAGATATAAAAAAAAAATTGGAAAAAATTGATCACCCATTTTAAATTAGTACTAGCCGCGACTGTTTGTCACATCTGATGAAGTTGTACTTCGAACCATGTCATTCATTTATAATTTATTATTAAATATATTTAAAGAGTTTGTTTGTATTTTTGCAATTATGTTTAATCTATTAAATTCATCGTTACATAACACATATGGTGTTACCAGAATTGGTTAACAATCGTTAAAAAATCATAAAAAGATAAGAATGTGTTAATTAATCGCAATAATGCAATTAAATAACGAAAAAATGACGGCTTATTAGTGAAATAACACCGATAATATTTGTATACCAAGAATAATTATATCTGCTGTGAAATCTAGGTCAAAATTTGGGTGTCATTACAACGTATTAGTCTTAGTTATTGTTCTTATTTCGTTTGAAAGGGATTCCGACATTGGCTTCTTTTGGTAATTCTCAAGTATAAAAAGCTTTGATCAATTTAGTATGGTCACAGTCATTAAATAGACAGTTAATTCATTAGTTGATATTATGTACTCCAAAGTAAGTGTTAATTTATTTTTAAATTAATGTTTAACAACTCAAAAGGGCACGTATTATATTAATGATTTTTTGAAATAAGAAAAATAAGAGTTTGTTTACACATTTAAATAAAATTTTCATTTATTAATTCACAATTTCTAATATTTAGCGAATTATCATTCTAACAATACTTTTTATAAAAAAAAAAGAAACCCACCAAACTATTTTTGTTTTCAATGAACCTTTTTCATAAAAAGGAGTGAAAAACAGAACCTAAATAAAAAAAATTATACTGTATGTACTTACAACTATTTACTATTAACTAATAAAATACATTTTTGGCGCTTAATTTTAAATTCTATTAAAAAACAAATTGTTTACATTTTCTATTTACCATTTCTAGATCTTATCAGTACTGGCCCTCGCTGCCCTAACCCAGGCAGGTGTTTTGGACTATGGTCATGCCAGTTCATATTCTTCATCTCATATAGCAGCCCCAGTTGTATCCCATGGATATCATGCCCCAACCTACGCCAAAGAAGCCCATCATGAAGACTACTATGTAAGTATTTAAGAAAAATTGGAGAACAAAACAGATATTCTTCTGAGAAAAAAACTGAAAATGAATTTAGCCATTTTCAATTTTTGATAATAATTTCATTATTTAAATAAAAAGGAAATACCTATAGTTAAATTTTTCATTCATTTTTTCATATAGTTTGCATCAAATACTTTATTTTTCAAACCAATTCATTTTTTTCTTAAAACTTTTAAAGATCAATATGTTTTTTTTAAATCAAATTATACTCTGCATTTGTTGATACGATTTTTGAATTTGGAACAAGAAAAGTAGGCATTTTTGCCTTAACAAACGTGAACAATTTTTGAGGCTAATACTTTAATAGATCCAATTAATATCTGCATTTTGTTAACACGAATTTTGAATCTAAAAAGAGAAGTACCTAAGCAAATTTTTACTACCTTTAGTTTATATTGAGACGCATAAATCCTTGAGGCTAAAAATGCCATTGACCCAATAGGTCTTATCTGTCAAATTTAAATGTAAAGACAGATTCAACTCTGTATGTGGTTTTTAAAATAATTAAATTTTCTTCAGGCCCACCCCAAATACGAATTCAACTATGGAGTTCAAGATGGCCACACTGGTGATCACAAATCCCAACACGAAACCCGTGATGGAGACGTAGTCAAGGGATACTATACCGTTGCCGAGGCCGATGGTACCCTCAGAACTGTTCACTACACCGCAGATGACCACAACGGTTTCAATGCTGTTGTAGAAAACTCTGGACACCCTACACACTCAGCACCAGCTCATGGTCCCGCTCATCACGCTGCCCCAGCTTACTACCATCATTAATGTTGACTGATTGTTGTTTAAATTATTTATTTATTGTTGTGAAAATGTGCGTTGATTAGGTAAATATAGTATTGTAAAAAAATTAAATTAGTATTTAATTATTCATAAATAACAAAAAATATAAAAAAATAGGACACGTAGACTTGAAGGACATCATACATCCACTGAATTTGATCTAAACACTCAGGCACTTTGTTCACAGATCCATACCCCTATGATCTAAAAAAGCCGTTAACATGCTATGTACCTACCTATTTAGTTTTTAATAATTAACAGAATTTCTTACCAGGATGGTAAACTTGACAGAAACAGCTTTTTAACAGAGAAATACGAAATCATTGGGTGGAGACATGAATATTTAAGAAGATGCTGGACATACAGTAACAAAAATTTGGCAAGATGCCTCTATCAAAACAAAAAACAAGCCTTTATGGAAGGGGTCTCTTGTGGATTAAAAAATCCAACAGGAAAACGTTTAATAATAACCCACATTAGAAGCACCGATAGATTTTTGCCAGATAGTTCAATAAAGTTCAAGTTCAAAAAAAAAAATTACTACCATCAAAAAATGGATGGCCCTATGTTTGAAAATTGGTTTTCGAACATTATAAAAAAATTCTAGCCAACTTCGTTATTGTTTTGGATAATGTATCCTATCACAGTCGATTAAAGTAGTCACTACCTATAAAAAGAAGGAAAAAAGAAGATATTTCAAAATGGCTTCATTCTAAAAATATTATCCTGTCACCTTATTTTCTTTAAGAGCTCCCGCTTAGTTGAAGAAACTATTAGATTTCTTAGAGCTCTTTTACACGAAGATTACTCTATGCTATATACGCGTATCCGCGATTCAGGCTAACCATACATTCAACTGAACCTATTTACACGGTAGAGACGACGTATACAATATCACGATAAGGAATTTCTGTATCCCGGCACCTTCAGCCGCAGACGCTGAATGCGTATGCCGCATACAGAATTACTATTATGCTATATGGGCGTTTTCAGACATGGATACTTTTGCAACGGAGATTCTATCATAGGCGCAGGATATTTTTCAAGGGTATTCTAAGTGCATCTAGTTTAATCGCATAAAATGTATGAGAAAATATTATTTTAACAATTTCAATACTGTAATGTGAGAACCCTCATTTATAAAAACATTACAAATACAAAGTGAAATTTCAAAAATTATGTCAGTTCAACGATTAAATTAGCTGCACGAGAAATATATGTTAAAATTATTTCACGAATCCGTCTTTTCTACGCATGTTGTATGCCCAGTCTTTTAATTTTAAAATAATGTACTCTACAGATGAATTTGCGTCAAACTCGTACAGTTTTCGTGGTAAAACAACATAAATTGGTTCCAAATTGATTTATGAGTTTTGATTTTATTAATTAAAATATTATTTCATTATCTACCCTATCCATCGAAAAGCCTACAAACCCGTATGTTTTGCATATTTTAATTTTTTAAATACCTAAAGTGTTCCTATTGAAAATATCAAATAATAAAATTAAAGTTGACATGTAAAACACTCAGGTTTGTTTAAAGCTTCGTCCTACTAAATATACGCTTTTTATCTACTCCTATTAATTTATATATTAATTATTCAACTGCTTTTAAGCAATTAATAGTATCAATAAATAAATAGCGTGAGTTTTAATAGTGAGTTATTATAACTCACGCTGGGCTCCTACGATAATGAGTAAAAGGTAATTTATAAGTATTTATTGCAAACGTCTACTTACACCTAGTTAAACAATTCGTTTCTGAAACTAAGTGTTATTGAGGTCTAAAATACGTAGTGTGAAAAATAGCTTAGAACTGTTGTCTCCCAGTTATAGTTTAATAAACACAAAGTAAACTTTTTTGATTATACTAAACCCATTATTAAAAACTTATAATTTTTTTTTAGTACGTACTTCGTTGAGAAAAGTAGTATAGAAAATGTATATGTGGGAACGTATGATGATTATATTCGCTCGGTGCGAAGTTATGGTAGGGGAAGCAAAAGTGATACTAGCGCAAGCTGCAGATAATTCGACCACTTTAGGGCGATATTTTGTAATTTTGGCGTATCAAATACACGTATTCATTTTACATTTTTTGCAAAAAAGAAGTAAGAACAATGTAATAAGCAACCGTAGTTGGTGTGTACTAGAAGTAGAATCTCCCAAGGTATTTATTTATTTTTATCTTCTAAAAAGTAAGTTTTCACTTCTTTTACAAAATTAAATTATTTTTAAATTCTAAGATATTTTCTAATTTATTCTTTTTTTTTTTATTTATTCGGGTTCTGTGAATTAGAAAAGGAAACATCAATCCACGTCCTGCACCAATGTGAAAGCCTAACTAGATTGAGATTTCTTATACTTGATGAAGAAAAGCCAGACACATGTAACTATACATGCATGTGGATGCCATTGTCAAGGAAAATAAGTCTAATAAAAAAGTCCAAGCTTAGATGACATACTCTAAAACAAACGAAGTCCCACAATAGATCTGAAAAGGTCGCGGTGGACACGGACACATAATGTCAAACTCCTTTTAAATCTAATATCTAACCTACCCTTATTTTTGACAGAAGCGTCGTGACATGCCACTCATATTTTGGTAAGCCTTCTTTGTACAATTAGCTATCGCATCATAATTTTTACGTAAAAGTCTTCAGTATCCTAAGAAATTCATGTATTCGTTTAATTGGACATTTAGAAGCAAATTGATATGAAAATATTGTTTATTATTCGCACTTATAAGGAGCCTGTATAATAATTGCAAATGGTTACAATGTTGCCAACTGTCAGTTAAAATGTTGAATATTGCATAAAACCATGGAAGTGACTCTTCTTTCGAAATATCAGGATACAATTTCAAGACAAAATAATGAAAACGATAAACCCCCTTGGATTATGGAGGAACATAATAATGATCCCATATGCGCAGGGTACTGCCTAAATATAACCAATGGGTTTTAAATTGTAAACAATTTTACTGCAGGTAAATATACTAAATACTTATGGTATCTAATACCGACCAATTTAAAATGAGTTGTTTACATGTAGTAAATATTAAGGTAGTTTACGCGCGACAGTCGTACACAAAAATATCGCCAATAGTTTGAGATTCTCAATGCTGAAAAATGTTATTTTTGTAAGAGACTGAACACAACACATGTAAGCTTATGTACGGATACGTTATTATTTCAAGTATAATCCATCCGGCAACGTCACAAATATAGGAATGGTGCGATATCAAGTGTATACCTATAGAAATTTTGTGACTTCCTCATACTAAATTTAAGGTTTTGTTTTGGTTCAAACAGGAGCGTCGATTCCAGTTATCAAATACAGTAGACAAATTAATTTTTCAAGAACACTTCACGAGGTTATAACAACCTCTTAGCTGATCGAGTGTAATTCAGTGATTCTGAACTAACAATGTTGCCAAGTTGTAATCATTGTACCCCACTACGCGTCGACTGCTTTAAACATATTTTTCTTTTAAAAATATTATCTTTTTACCAAAATGGTCAAAAAATTCAACGTTTTTTTGGCAAATTATATAACTTTTTGATTTACATTACATTAGTTTTTAAAAAAATATAATAAGAACCGTTTTCAAAATATCTTGAAATAAATGCATTGCTTATGTACATGACAGGTTTTAAGACTGTTAATTATGCACAATTTCATTGTTAATATCTCGTTTTACAGACGGTCAAAAAAAATTTTTTTTTTTTAGTTGGTACGTAAAAGACATTTTCTTTAACCTTATATTTTAATTTTATTGAATTCTTAAGAAAAGCCGTCTTGCGAATGAACTACTTTAAATATTATTTTAAAAAAATGAAAATAAATCTTGAAGCTTATTTTTAATTATATATAATATGTACCTATTTATTGTAGGTTTTTATTTGCATTTAAATTTTTAAAAAATAGCCATCTATCCAAATAAAACCATTTTAAATAAGGGATTCTTATTATAGGTATTTAAATGGAGAACAAACATAATGCCATTATTTCTTCTGTTCCCTCTAACTTGTGTACGGCAAAATTTTGTTACAGTACTTTGTAAATAATAAAGTTCATTAATCTCCGTAATTAGGGAGAGTATTATTATTATTATTTGTGTATAACTATTTTTGGTTGATAAATAAAATGCTCTAATTGGTCTTTATTTTATTTCATAAAGGAAGGTATTTAGTCAGAAATATGTATAATATTCTTGCTTCACTTATAAAATGGGCTCTTCACAATATTTTTCTATTTTCTTTTCTCCTTCATCAGTCAAGCTTAATAGTAGGTATATTTACTCAAAATGTATACAAATTGTTTAAAGTACAAAATTAATAATCCTATAAAATTGAGTAAATAATATACAATATGAGAAGCCTGTGCATGGTCTATGTAGTATCACAATACGTTTGGATTTTTGCAATTATGTTTAATCTATTAGATTCATTGTTACATAACACATATGGTGTTACCAGAATTGGTAAATAATCGTTAAAAAATCATAAAAAGATAAGACGCGTTAATAAATCGAAATAATGCAATTAAATAATGAAAAAATGACGGTTTATTAGTGAAATAACATTGATAATATTTACATACAAGAATAATTATATCTGATGTGATATCTAGGTCAAAATTCGGGTGTCATTACAACGTAGGTATTAGTCTTAGTTATTGTTCTTATTTCGTTTGAAAGGAATTCCAACATTGGCTTCTTTTCGGTAATTCTCAAGTATAAAAAGCTTTGATTAATTTAGTTTGGTCACAGTCATTTAATAGACAGCTAATTCATTAGTAGCAATCATGTACTCCAAAGTAAGTGTTAATTTATTTTTAAATTATTTAGCAACTCAAAAGGGCACTTATTATAGTAATAATTATTTAAAATAAGAAAAATAAACGTTTGTTTACACATTTATATAAAATGTTCATTTATTAATTCACAATTACTCGAATTATCATTCTAACAATACTTTTTATAAAAAAAAAATCCACCAAACTATTTTTGTCATAATAGAAGTGAAAAAACAAAACCTAAATAAAAAAAAGAAAACTA